GAGGGGCAAGGGGACAAAACAAAATTCAGCAATTTTTGACACAACAGACAAAAAAAAGCTGATATCTTAATTAACCTGCCAGAGCTGATCGTTTGAAAGCTGGCAGACTTTGAAAACCGGTCACTGTGGAAAAGCGAATTTCAAAGCCCCATGTTAAAATATCTCTATCAGTTATCGAAAGAGGAAAACAGCAGAGGAGCTCTGACTAAAGTTCTTTTTTCTCATCCAAATTTATGTCAATTATAAGCTAGCTATTAGATCGATAACGTGTAAAAGGAAAGTACACAATGTATGTTTTGGTTGCTACAGTTACACGAGGTTTTCTAGAAGGCCGTGGAGTGACCACAGCTACACGCTCATATCCATTTACAGAACCTGCATTTGTCCCAACACAAGTTTTTTCTATAGCATTAACTTAGGTTTAATATCGGTGAAAAAATTTAATCAAATATATTTAATACACAATTGCCAAGATTAGCAAAACAACCATAGCTAGGTTAACTGGTTTAACCGGCAACCTCTATCAGTAGAGTATTCCACTTTTTGTTTAAAATAAAGAATTTACAATCTTAGAATGCAAGTGCGAATGATAACATTATCAATTTTATAGGGTAATTCTTTAGTATCACCGGGGTTCATGCTCAAAAACGTGATGCAGATGAGTATTTCAGCTGGCTAGCATGCTAGAAGCTTCGAGGCTAGCTTCAAATCAGTAAACTAACTAGCTTACTCCCACCCTGGTTTTTGTTCTTTTTAGGCCAAAACAACACTTTTAACTCGTCAACTTCACCTTTCCTCCTGAGTCCGAGTTATTTGTTTTCGTTTTAGAAGAGACGTACCTTTTTTAGTTCGTTTTCAGAGGCAGAAGGTGAAACTCCGAGGATGTCGTATAGCCTAGTGTCCGCAACGTTCGCCATGGTGCTAACCGGCTACCAGAGTGGGAGCTTCTGCGGTGAATCAGACGAGCTACACAAGGTTCACCGGTTGGGGCTGGTCGTCCATTCTAATCCACCTACTATGCTTCTTCGCAGTTATATCCAGGGTCGGAGACCATTTTAACCCATTCATGTATGAATTATGATAAACTTACTCAGAACTTTCAAAGTTTGTTGAATTACATTTAGCATTTTTTTTCTCTCCAAAACGTATACATTTAAAATAGTTCTACGTAGACTGAAATGGAACTGATAATGTACAGGAGTTATACTTTTCTGTCAAAATGCCAGGTTTGTGTGATGTAAGAAGAATACGAACAAGACAAACCATTTAAGAACTATTTGCACTTTTGTTCTGACCTATAACTGCACAAATTTCACACACAAAAAAAATCTCAGCTAAAATAATACTTTTGAGGCTTCCCAAAAGAATGATTTTTAAAGGGTATTTAATTTATTTATTTTTGTATGTTGTACGTTGAAAGCTTTGGCCACAATTAAATGGTTTAGTGCAACATCAACACTGAGGATCAAAAGAGCATCACACTCAACGAAGCATGGTAATGGCAGTGTCATGTTTGGTGCTCTGTTTCTTCAGCAGGAGCAAAGCCTTAGCCAATTGTCTATGAATATATAATTGGATGTGATTTTTTTTTAGGACTAATACATGGACAATAGTTTAGGGTTAGAAAATAGCCAGTGATGCATGTTGTTCTTAACAGATTTCAAACTTTTTTTTTCCTATCATAAACACACTATATACATTTTCTAACAATTATATTTTAACACTTAGTTGTTAATCGATGTTACCTCTATTTTTGTCATAATGTAGAAAAAAATAGTTTACTGCAGTGTGAGCTGCTCTGTATTGTATACTTACACAGACTGGCCAGTCGGTGGCAGGGTATGGAGTAATAAGCGACACTCAAAAGAAAACCGGCCCCCGCCCCGGCCCCGAGGGGCGGGGCGGTGGTGCGCGTGCGCGGCGCCCGGGCGGTTGTGCGCATGCGCGGCGCCGGTTATGCGCATGCGCGGGGTCCGGGCGGTCGTGCGCATGCGCGGGGTCTGGGCAATTGTGCGCATGCGTGGAGCTGGGCCGGTTGTGTGAATGCGCAGGGCACGAGCGGTTGTGCGCATGCACGGGGTCCGGGCGGTTGTGTGCATGTGCGGGGTCCTGGCGGTTGTGCGCATGCGCGGGGGCAGGGTAGTTGTGCGCATGCGCTGGGCCGGGCGCTTGTGCGCATGCGCGGAGCCGGTTGTGTGAATGTGCGGGGCACAAGCGGTTGTGCGCATGGGCGGAGCACGGGATACTGTGTGCATGCGCGGAGCACGGACAGTTGTGCGCATGCGCGGAGCACGGGCAGTTGTGCGCATGCGCGGAGCACGGGCAATTGTGCGCATGCGGGGAGCACGGGCAATTGTGCGCATGCCCGGATCCGGGGCGGTTGTGCGCGGATGTGGGGTTGGACAACATCCGGTGGCTATAGTGTTAGCATTAAAAGGCTACGAAAATGCCTCAAAAATTTCTGAAGTTCTCTCCAAATGTCCGTGTCAACTTGGAGCCAAACTCATCATTCCACCATTTAGTCATCCTGGTCAGTTCAGCAAGGAAGAGACAGAGGAGACTCAGACCATTGCTTGGCTGCAGGTCATTGTAGAGCGAGCAATCGCTAGAGCAAAGTGCAACCACATCTGGGATTCCCCGGTGCCTCTCACTTTAATAGGAACTGTCAATCAAATCTGGCACAACTGTTGTGTTTTGGCAAATTATCAAGGCCCATTCTGTGTTGCAGACAAAATTATTTCTGTATATTAATTGTTGTAATGCTATGTAAAAAAATTAAATTTCTAGAATTTTGCAAAAAATATTCAATTAAAACACACTTTGGCAGCATACTTGACTTTCTTTTTGTATTAAGTTGAATTGCAAGGAAAACAAATCAAGTACAATTTACAATATCTAGTATAAACAAAAAAAAACATAACTATTTCATATGAAATAGTTATAAATATGACTGAGCCATTTTCCTAGCCTTTTAATGCTAACGCTATAGCCACCGGAAGTTGTCCAACCCCACATCCGCTTTATAAAACCCGGATGCGTGAAAAAGGTCTAGTATTCAACAAATGGCAGAAGGTAACAGCGATGGTGGTTCTAAATTACTTATCAAGATAAACTGGATAGTCTGTCAAAGGTTGTGTGGTTAAAAATATCCTTTGCAACTAAACTAGTCATAGAATATTGCCCAAATGATCTAACTTTACGTTTGGCAAAGTAATGATGCAACAGTTCATTTCTCTCATTTAATATATCTACACGACTCAAAATAAAGTTGTAGCAAGTTATTGATTGAAATTTGCAGTTGAAGTAACACTCTTTACATTTTTATGTGTAAACAAAAACTTAAAATGAACCAGATGAGGCTGAAGACAGTGAACACTGAGGAAGGTCAGGTGAATTGTAACCTGAAGTAAAAATATAAGCCCAGTCCTTTAATGGAAATGTAGGTTCTCATTGTGAAAAACGTTACAATCTAAAAAAACACACAACTTTGGGTAGATTTTGGATTATTGTACATGAAGATCAGATTTCAGGGATTTTTAAAAATTGCAAATAGCCTAAGTAGCGAAATAAATACAATTCATGTTTGCCCTGATACAAAATGATCAGCTTATTTCTTTTCAGTGTTAATATCAAAAGCACTGGAGATGGTGGGAAATGGTAACTGAGATCCAGTGGAATGACTGCTAAAGAAAGTGCAGATATGCTTAAGCTTGTTGTTTCATGTTAAATCAAAGAAAGCATAAAAACTCAGGTGTGACTAAGAGTGCAAAAACATGGTCTTCAAAATCTTCATGAGGTTTATTTGCAGCAAAGAGGGCTTTAGGACTTATAAAAGTGTTGAGCAAGTGCATCATTGTAAAATAATTGTCTACGTTATCGTTGCACCACCAGTGCACCAATTTATTTATTTTTTCTTTACTGGTTTCTGATAAAAAAAAAAAGAAAGTCGTATAACTACTTACTAAAATATTTGTTTTGTTCTGCATTGCTGCTTAAAAAAGAAAGGGGGCGTCCTCCGTTGCATTAGCTACTAGCAACACCTCTGGAGAAATATATACATATATAATAAAAATAACAATAATAAAATACACTTATGTTTGATTTACAGCCAACCATTTGATGACATCTTAGTCAGTCGCCATTTTTAAATTTCAAGCAGCTTTTCTGCTTCGTGTGTCAACACATCCTCTCGGCCGCCGTGTAACGGAGTGTAAATGACATTGCAGCCAGGAAAGGGGTAGTAGGATGTCAGGCTAGCAACGCATTTTATAGGCTGCTACGGGCCTCACAGTGACCTGACAGCCGAAGTCGCCAATTCCTGCCGTTCGGCCTGCATATAACGAGGGGTGAAGAGATGACACAGAGGTAAGAACCGGCTGCGTTTCGGAAGAAACGGCGTCCACGATAATAAAGACTTCTCGAGCTGCCGAGCGAGCTGCGTTAACTTGGCGTTAAGCTAAGTCTGAACTAGGAGGACGTTGTCTCACAACACACTGCAGCCCGCAGCTGTGATAAATAACAGCTCTATCTTAGCTGAGGATCTAAATGCACCTCGTCTCCACCGAATTAAATCAGTTTGTAGCGTCGGCAGAGCGAATGAGGCTGTGCTAGCGGGCTGCTTTATTACGTGCACGAAAGGTAAGCGTGAAAAGACGCCGTGGCTAAACGATGGGTCACACTGAAAAAGATAAGTTGTATGATTAGCTGAGGGACATGTTCCCTGCTGTTGCTGGTGCTCTGATTTGGTTCAATATTTTAGGGAATAATTAACAGTTTCCAGCTGCACTCAGTGTGCTTGAAAGGCCTCCGAAAGCTGAGCATGTTCGGGCTTTTTCTCGTCTTAGCTTCATATAAAAATGCCTCTCTTTTTTTTGCACCTTTGGGAAAAGCTCAATTTCATATCGGATCACAGAAACTGCTCGTTAAAACTACCAAGCTGACCTTTAAGTAAAATCAACCAGACCGTGTTTTCGCATCAACGTGGAATGGCCAATTTTACTATTTGTTTAGGCTTTTAGTTGGAAGTTGTTGGCTAAAAATTACACTCACAAAACAACAATGACATCACATTAAGCAACTAATCAGGAGTTCTTGGGAGTGCATCTGTTTGTGGCAGATTAACTGTTTATTCTAACGCCAATCCTTAAATACAGTGTTCTAGTCAAAGATAAAAATTTATATAGAAGCAAAACTGTGTTATTTTAAACTGTCTTCTATTTAAGTTTGCATTGCTTTGCAAAAAGCATGTGACAGTCTATTGTGTTTGTGGTAATTTTGAGGAGGTATATGCTCTGATGACTAAATCAGTCTTTTGCTCAACAAGCTCCTGTGCTGTGCATTAGTACATCTTTCAGCAATAACACATATTGCCCTGAACTTGGACATCAACTTTCTCTCTGACATGACCTTTGTTGCTAAATCCACATTGTTATCTAACTCTTAAGTCTACAGTGCATTGCACCACAGACTCATAAAACATGTTGCATGACCATGATCAACTGCTACTTCAACAAAAAAGATCAACTGGCAGACAGATGTAGAAACAAAATCTGAGTAGTTTATATGAAAGTGTGTGTACCTGCTTCCTATATGACCACTGTTGCAGTCAACATCAGCTGGATACAGAGAGAAAAAATAAATTCAGTTGCTCTTCAGCCTGAAAGAGAGAAGTTGTTTGGGTAAGTTAAAGCATAATGACATCAGATTGGATTCTGTGCTGCAGTCGGAGTTGGATAGTAATAAATTACATTTACAGCAGGATTACTTGAAGTTGTTTTGCTTGTTCTTATGCTTGAATAATAATATTTTTGAAGTAACCCTACCACTTGAGCACAATTTTTGTCTGCTATATCAGTTTCTCATTGCTGTGCTTTAAAATTAGGACTATTTAAGGCAAGGTATGGCCCTTACTAATTTTACAACTGGAATATGCACAGAAACCATTTAGATGGGAAATTCAAATATAAATAGGAGCGTTTTTGTCTGGGTTCAAAAGTTGATGATTGTCATTGTCAGCTTTTTATTTCAGTTCTTTTATCCACATCGCCAGAGCTTTGGCTCAAATGCAATATGATAAAATCTTGTGTTTGAATCGGTTAGCTATCTGCAACTTAACTATTTGAGAGTATATGTTTGATTTTATATATATATAAATATATAAAAAAGCTCACTTCTTCCATGCTGCTTGCTACATAACAGAATTAGTTTTATATTTGATATTCCTGATATCCAGTAGTACAATTCTGTACACCATTTTCTATGTAGCTATGTTTTTATTGTTGCCTAAAAGCAAATACAGCCCTGAATGATTGTTTTAAGCCTCAGTTTGTGTGTAGTACATATCTCTTTTAGAAGATAATTGCATTTAGAGGCTTTAGCTATTTGTGGTTGTGAAATACTTGTTGTATGCACCAAGTTCTTGTCAGTTTTCTTAAGATCAATCCCACAAGGTGAATAAGTGAGTCTTCTCCCTTAATCTGATTTTTATCTGAGCTCTCTTGTTTTATTCCAAGAGTTCTCATTATCAGTCTCGAAGCCTGTTAGCATTTGCTGATGGGTCTCAGAGAAACCTCAAAGTAAACCGTGTGATATCAATATACAAATAGGCACTGATAATTCAGTTACAAAATCAATGCTTCCTGCTTCTCCCTCAGAAGAATGCTGACACAGCCTTGTTTCAGCTTAAAGACAGAGAGAATATCTTACTGACTTTATTTCCTGTCTTCTAAATTCCCTTTCCTCACCAGGTCAAAGGCAGTTTCCTCGGCTTGTGTTTGCTGTTGTTGAGTGACTTGAATATGTGAATCTGCAGATGTCGATTGATGTCCGGGCTCTGATCATAAGGCAGATGGCTGTTTAACGAGAGCTCTTCCTTGTTCATCTGTAAGACAATTTATAGTATTTGTTTGTTTATAAAATGTATTCAAGTGTGGGACTATGTGCTTGCCAATAATCTATGTTCCTAAGCCTCATACCTCATCCCTCTCTGTTCGGCAGCCAAGTTTTAGATCTGCTGACGCCAACAATGTTTTGGAAGTTTGACTTGCACACATCCTCTCATCTGGAGGCTTTGCTAGACAAGGAGGATGTCACTCTCAATGAGCTCATGGACGAGGAAGACGTGCTGCAGGAGTGCAAGGCCCAAAACAGGAGGTATATTTATTGATTCCCTATATGCTTTAGCACTCTAAAGCGACTTTTAAGCTGACATTCTCTGCCTCTGCTGTCTTGAGCGTTTTGCTTTGTGATGGATTCACAGACTCCTCCAGTTCTTCTGCCAGGACCAATGCATGCAAGAGCTAGTGCGTTTGATTACAACAGAACCCCCTGCTGGCGCAGAAGAGACCAAGCGCTTCAAGTGAGTGTTTTTATGTGAAGCAGGGAAAAGCAAAGTTTTTCTGACTGTACACAGTAATGTATTTGCTTACCTTCCTCTTTATCCTCAAGTTTATTTGGGTTGAATAAAAAGATATCGCACCACTAAACTTTTCACATGCATTTAAAAAGGCAAAACAGTTCAAATTAATCAAAGTCATATTTATTTAAGCATACATTTTGCACTAAAGTGCTCAATGTGCTAATTGATGTTACTAAAATTTTTTTTCAGATATCCAAACATAGCATGTGAGCTGCTGACATGTGATGTAGGCGTGATCAATGATAAGCTTGGCAATGAGGAACCTCTGCTAGAAAATCTGTATGCTTTCCTGGAGCAGCCATCTCCGCTTAACCCCCTGCTGGCCTCCTTCTTCAGCAAGACAATTGGGAATCTAATAGCACGGAAGACTGAGCAGGTAATACACACACTCCTACAAAAAACAATAATGCAGATAATCATAGACAGAGATGGCTACATTCTGAGTCCCTGTGATTGAATTTCATTTAAATGAAAATGCTCACAGGGAGATTAACCGTCACCTGGAATGGCTTTAAAGTTTTGCCGTTGTTGAAATGTGAACATCCAGATGGGCCAGCCTTCAAATTATGTTTCATTTTGAAAGCCCAGGTCTGCTTGGTAAATTATCCAGCAGTTCCAAAATATAAAACATTGCTAAAGAAACTTGAAAAAAATGTTGTATTTCACATGGAAATTTGTGTTTACATGAAAACATTTACTTTAGAAATCACTGTTTACTGCATTGGCCCTAAAACTTTTTCATATTTTGGCACATTACAACTAAACACTTCCTTATATCTTATTAAGAATTTATGAGATGGACCAAGTCACACATAACTTCAATGTTGCAGTAAAGAGTACATGGTTTACAAGTAAAAATGCCTTCCATTTGTATTCAACTCCCTTGGAGCAATACCTGGCTGAAACAATGTTTTGCTGCAGTGGTGCAGCAAAACATTGTGAATATGTTGCTTGCAACTTTGCACATCTAAACTAAGTTTGTTTGGAAAAATAGTTGGAAGGTGAAACTCCTCCACACTCTCCCATCTTTTTTGTCAACCTCTGACAAGTTTTTGTTTAGGTGGTGCTAAATACAAATGCTTAGTATAGTTTGGGGGGGGGGGAGTGAAATAAAAAAAATATGTAGGTTTTTCCTGCCATCTTGCAATCATGCAAAAATTTTTCTTGTCTATTAGGTTCTCAAGTAACATTTTTTCAAAGGCTTTTACAACTGACCATTGGGTGTCTCTTGAAAATGCTGGGTATAATCCAGCTTTAAGGACCAATGGAGCATGTTAATTTTTTATGTGTGTAGAACAACTCTGCACATCATCAAAATGCTGTCACATCAGTTTGTTTGATGTCTGTGCTGTGCAGGTCATCAGTTTCCTGCGAAAAAAGGAAGGATTCCTTTCATTGGTCCTGAAGCATATAGATACATCTGCCATGATGGATGTGCTGCTACGCCTTATCAGCTGTGTGGAGCCACCTCCACTTCGGCTTGAGACCCTCACTGTAAGCAAAGCTTCCTGTTATCAAACAATGTTTTTAATCCAAATATTTTCTGCTGTGTCATTTACTGTAATATTTGCTCTTGTTAGTGGTTGAATGAACAGAAACTGGCCCAGAGACTCATAGAGCTCATTCACCCTGAGAGAGATGAAGAGGTAGATGAGAAAAGTTTTTATTTATTTACTTTTTGTTTGTTTTGTTTTTTTTGAGTAAAAGTTAAAATTATTTTTTTAGGAAAGAAAAATAATAAAAGGTTAATATCTTTGCTTCATTTTTTGTTCTTTTTTTCTACACAGAGGCAGACAAATGCTTCTCAGACACTGTGTGACATCATTCGTCTCAGCAGAGATCAGGCCAGTCAGCTGCAAGAGATTTCCCAGCCCGACCCGCTGCTCACTGTGCTGGAATCGTAAGTCACAAACTTTTACTCTCACCGACCTGATTGTGGAGATCATGGCATGCTCCGGTGTGTTTTTACAGGCAGGAGTGTGTCGAGCAGCTACTTCAGAATATGTTTTCAGGAGAAAGGGCTGAAAGCTGCATTGTCAGTGGGATTCAAGTTCTTCTGACCCTGTTGGAGATCCGTAGGCCAGTGTAAGAGACTCTTGATTTCATTTTAAGCATTTTCAGATATTTTCAAATTATTACTTAAACTTTAATCTATTTTTACTGATTGTTTCATCTGTGTTTTATGTATTCTTTTTTTTTTTGTTATTTTCTTTTAATTTATAAATCTGTTTAAACTTCCATTTTGTGACAGGGTGGATGGTGTCATGGATGCTCAGGGGTTTGAGAGAAGTTACACCGTTAATAGCAGCATTTTGTTGGCTATTCAACCACACCTGACACACTTTCACCAGCTACTTCTGGAACCACCTAAGGTACAGAAACACAGAAAAGATCATTCATAGGTCTTTCAAGTAACCAAAAACATTCACGCTATGTATAGGATCTGAAAGTCTCTGCCGTTTATGCATTTTATAGCGAGATCCCATGCTGACTACTCTGGGTGTGCTGGAAGAACCGCTGGGGAACACACGCCTGCATGTGGCCAGACTCGTGGCCTCTCTGCTTTACACCAGCTCTGCCAGCCATGCAGTCGTAGCTCAGGAGCTCTGCAGGCTCAATGCTATGGATCTCCTTCTGGTGAGAAACATTGTAGTTGCACAGTATTTTCAAATTTTGGAGATTAAGCATGAGCTGCTGGGAGAGTCTCACAGTTTGATGACCTCCAGTAAAAGCCTGAGGCTTTTAACAGCTTCATGACTTATACACAAACATTTTTAATAAAAGTACCTGATCTGGTTGCTTCTGTTTAAAACAGAAAACCTACAATTATCCCTGATCCTTCTAAATTACATTATTATCACATTTAGATGAATGTTATTTATACAACACCTATTTGTTGTTGTTTGACCTAGATATACAGACCCAAACAAAAACTATGGAATAAACAATTCATGAATTTAGAAGTAGTTTTCAGGTGCTTATTGGACAGAATGTTATGATTTCAGTATCATGGTTCAAATGTGCAACAGTTGAACAAATACTTTGTATCGATGAATTAATTTGTGTCTGTCACAATTTAAATAGAAATGAAAAGGGTTCATTCAGCTAATAAAAAAATACCTAGAATCATTTCATTGTTTTAATATATTAAAAAGTATAATTAAACTGGTCACATTTTGTTCAAATACTGTGCAATATAAGCCAAGTGTATTTGTGTTGCATATTTCAGCAACAAGGTCATTCAAAGTGATTTAAAAACAGCACAATAAACAAAGGCAGATGTAAAATGTCTGCCCTTTTCAGGACCTGTTCTTTAAGTACAACTGGAACAACTTCCTGCACCTTCAAGTGGAGCTTTGTGTTGCTGCCATCGTCCGGCCATGTGCCCATGAAATGAGACTGCAGCCTGACTTCAGTTCCCAGGATAAACCCAAGCTCTCTCCAGATGCACCTCAAGAGCAAAATACAAGTGAGGCCCCAACCTCTGAACCTTCAGTCACCTCTGAACCTTCAGTCACCTCTGAAAACTCTGCCTACAACTTAATGGTGACTCATGTAGGTCTCTTTGTTTCCAGATATCTTTTAGTCAACCTAAATGACATGACTTTTTTTGAGTTTTATTTTATCTAAATGTTTCTTTCTCTTGAAAGTTGTTCCAACATTGCCACCTTATCCAGAGGATTCTGGAGGCTTGGGAGGAGAATGATAAAATCCAGTAAAGACCTTTGGCATCATAATCAAATTTTGCATCACAAGCATAAAACCAGATTTTAAAAGTATTATGTGTTCGGTCAGGTCAGAAGGTGGCATGAGAAGAGGATACATGGGACATTTGACGAGGATTGCCAACACTGTGGTGCACAACCTGGAAAAAGGCCCAGTTCACACTCAAATCAGTGACCTTATTGCAGGTATGATTGATAGTATTGCAAACAAAGCTTTAATTGTAAACATTCACGCAAAAATGTTAAAAGTATTTGTCCTCTTGGATGCAGAGCTGCCAGAGGACTACAGAGGGCGCTGGGAAACCTTTGTGGAACACACACTGTCAGAAACCAATAGAAAAAACACCATAGACCTGGTAAGTTTTATTACCAGGTAATAGAACAGCTACAGTATATAGTAGCTGTTTTTACTCAAATACAGAAAGTTAAATTATCCATGCTGCTGCGTTTAGATTGGTACTGGAAACCCTCGATCTTCTTCAGAGGATGACATGGAGAGCCCCTTCCCTAAAGAGCTGACAATGCAGCAGGTATATATGAATGAGCTGACTAAATATTCTGCTTTTGTTTCACAATCCATTGTGCTCTGATTATTGCGGTTTTGTCTTTAAGGCCTTTTCAGACTATCAGATCCAGCAGATGACGGCTAACTTTGTAGATCAGTTTGGCTTTAATGACGATGAGTTCACGGATCATGACGACAACATTGGGTAAATGAACTGACCCTGTTCTCTTTGCTCCAATCAGCTCAGTATTTTGTGTGCTGACTGGGTGATGCTTCATCGTTTCAGTGCAACATTTGACCGGATTGCTGAGATCAATATCAACATTGATGCAGGCCATGACACCGTGAGTGTATTAATATCGTTCATTCCTTTTGATCTTTCTTGCGTTTTTTTTTTTTTTTTTTCAAACTTCTTGGGATCAAAGAGAATACTTACTCCTGATACCATATTGAAAATGCAGCCTTGCTTTTTGCAGACCAACTCAGCTATGTTTGAGGCCTGTTCTAAGGAAAGGATTCAGCCCTTTGATGATGAAGAAGAAGACATATGGGAGGAAAAAGAAATCAACTATGCAACACAAACAAAGTCAAGAAACAGGTTGACAGAATCCTCTATTAACTTCTGTACAATTCTTGATATTTGTGTTCCCTTAGCCACAAACATCATAGTGTTTTATAACAGTTAAATAAGATATGTTTAAATTTGGAGTGGAAGAAAAAAAGTTATGTGAAACTCTGTGGTAGAAAACTGATTCTGCACTTTATCTTAAACACATCAGCTCCTCTAGTTCATCGTTCTATAGAGATGCTTTTCTTCTGCTAGTCCACGTTGAGGAGAAGACGGATGGAGATGCTAGATGTAAAGATGCTGGAAGAAAATCGTGTTTTGTCAATTTTATATTTGCAAACAAAGATTAAAAACTTGCATATTTTTTTTACTCCAGTTATTTCTATTTTGTGGTGATGAATCGCATAAAATTCACTCGAAATACATTGAAACTTACAAAGTAGGAAAGCCTTCAAATACTTTATTCTAAATACAAAATTTCTGTATTAGCTTGCGTAGACATATTGAAGTATATAGTTTTGTTTTTGATAAGGTTCGGTGGCTCCCCTTCTTCCCAAAGCCAAGCAGCCAGTCAAATGTGTGAGAGGACAGCAGCTTCCAGCACCGATGCTCCTGACAGACCTGCAGACTCTGATTCTGAGGAGGAAGACAATAAAGACGACTTTGATCCGTTTTCAAGCCAGGGCCAGACAGGTGCACCTCCAAGTAAGATATATGTGTATGTTGCAACATTTGTACGGTATAACATTGCATCAGAGTTGGTGTCTTATACTCTTTTTTTTTTCTTTGTTTTTCATCAGGTTCTGACTGGGTTGCAGACTTTGGAGAAGTGAACTCCACAGCTCCTGCGGCTGGAGCAGCGGTTTCCCCCTGGGACGCTCCGGTCTCCCAGCCAGCTGCAACAGAGACGGAAGATAAAGGGTGGGCCAAATTCACAGATTTTCAGCCTTTCTGTTGGTGAGTTTTCTTAGTTTGAAATATAGTGAAGTAATTTTTTTTAGAAATGCCTTCATTTTGCTTCTCACCTGAACTGAATTACAAATTTTACATTAGCTTTTAAATATGAAAAAATATTGTATGTCATTAATTTTGGTAAGTTAAAATAGGATCTTTTTGCAATATTACAAACTGACACCAGTAATATTAGTTCCCTCACATTTGTGATAACTGATTTGTCTTTTCATCTATTGGTATTCAGAAATTTTGCTGTTAAAAAATGTACTTTCCTTTAGAAATATATGCACTGTGACAAGGTTATGAAGGACACAAATTGACTCTAAATTAAAAATTTTGTCTGAGTTATCATTCATGTAAATTATCCTTTTATGTTTGTATCATTAAATGTTCAGCAGCTCTGAAACGGGCCCCAGATGCAGTTCTCCTGTGGACTCGGACCTCAGTGGTTCAGACAGCACCAAACCAAACCCCAACCGTGAGTTGATGCAGAATGGCTGTTAAAATGATCAATTGAATCATATAATCCCTGACAGGTTCTTTGTGCAACTATGCATGTGGTTATGCACTTTCTGGCTTCAGTATTACAGCATCTTAAGAACAATTAGCACAGCCACATAGCATCATGCATACACAAATGCATCATGCATACTCAAATGCATGATGCTAAGAAACTTTATCACCCTCTTTACTGATTGCTACATGCTCCAAAAACCTGCTCTTACTTTGAAGCATGTTTTTTACTTCCATGAAAGAAAGATCAAAACATCCTTCAGGAGCGATAAACCACAGTCTTTTTACAACATGATGAAGCACCAGGTCAGAAGGGAAAAGTAAAAACTAAGTGACTGTTTAGAGAAACATGATGTAAGTTTCAGCAAAAGCTTTTGGAACTTATTAAATCTTTATTACTTAATTCCAGTTACTGTAGAAACATCTGAAAAGTGTAGTCTAAAAACACTGAAGCTATAAAGTTGATGAAAAACAAAATGTTCCTGTCTCAAAACTGTTACTCTCACTTGTGGTAGCTGGTGTTTAGTTTCAACAGCCCAGCTCTGTACATAGTAAATCAAATGCTTCCTGTCACTCTCTGCTTGTGGATCAGAAATATTTATTTACAGAGCTGTCATTTTTATTTTTCTAGCACATTTTAGTCATTAGTTTGACAAAGTGTTTGTTCAAAGTTTTACACCATAAAAACATTAAACATTAACCGATTTTGGAACAAGCAACCAACTTTATATTTTGCCATTCTGTTATCAAAAACATCAAGAATAAAAACCATAAAATAGATATCAAACGTTGTATTGATCAATGTTCCAGTTAATCAGTCAAGTGGATTTTTACTCTTGATTTAAATGAAGTCATTGTTTCAGAAGTTATCAGAAATTTTGCTTAGATTAGTGGTAGATTATTAGTAAGCCAAAAGTCACTGTGGCCCAGTGATTTATTATTATTTTATTTCAAATATGACAGAAGTATGAAATCACACACGTAAAAAAAGAATGCAAAAGACACATAGTTTTGTACCACAATAATTTTAACGCGCTCGAAAAGGAGTAGGAAAAAGTCAGAAACTTAGAAACTTCTGCCAGCTAAAAGTCTTTTAGCTGAGAAAAGATTGAAATAAAGTGTCATTGGTCATTTGGTTGATGCCATGTAGTTTTATCTAACTTATGTTGACTATGCTGTTTTGGTTTGTTTTAAATGAAAATCTCAGGTTAAGACAGACTTTTTTTTTTTTGTCTTCGCAGCATGTGTGTGGAGTGCTTGTGTTGCAAGAAAAGCTCCTCTTGTGGCATCGGACAGCTCCTCCTCCAGCAGCTCAGACAGCGATGAAGAGGAAGGAAAGACAGAGTCCACTTCCAGTGAGACTGTTACCACTGAGACCATCACCACAGGTGCAGGGAAGGAGACTATCCGGCTGACTGTGGATGCCAAAAATGGGAGGGCAGTCTTCACAAGGTATTCATTCCCATGCACAGAGAAGAAGCAGCTGCTCTGTCTGGTGTTTCCACCTTGTCTTGCCGTTTTCCACCCGGAGACTTTTTTTGCCCTCTATTCTAAAATTTCTTTTCTTCACAATTTTTACCTCTTCATTGTCCCTGTTATCATTCTCCTACCTTCTGTCCCCTCCTTTCTCGTGTCCCCTTCCTTCCAGAGTTTTCCGACCTGCATTCAAGCGGTATGTTGTAGGTGCCTGTGCAACGTATGGAATGTCGTCCTGATGGATTTAAAATGCTCTTATTTGCTCGTTGCATTTCCCAGGATGTGGAGTAATATTTAAATTTTGCCATTGTTGTTAATTCTAACTCACAAAGAACATGTACTAACCTCCGACCTTTTATCCAAAACACTTCTTATTTAAGGTTTTCTCCAGAACATGTGGCTTATTGCTGGAAGAGATTGAGATTGTATTCGACTTATGAACTTTGTGTTTTTGTGTAGAGCTGCACACAACTAACAGTCTGTCAGATAGCATGCTGTCAGCAAAGTGCCACCATTTCAGTTGATTGACATTCTAACAGATTGGTTCATTAGGAGATGACTAACAGTGCACCAAAGAGCATGCTATAATTCATTAGATGCTACTTTAAATTAAAGAACATGAACACAAACTTTCCCCTAGCAGACTTACTGATTATGTTGAGCTGTGTGTGTTGCACAATGAGCGCATTAGAAACGAAGGCCCAGTAAAGATGATAAATGCATTGATAACCCATAAACTTTTCCACATTTTTTGAGATTCCAATCGCACACCTTAATGTATTGTATGTGATAGACTAACAAAGTAGTGCATTATTGTGAATCAAAAGAATTTTTTTTTCTTTTTTTATTTTAAAAATCTCAATGAAAGCAGTGTAGCAAACCTTCAAAGATGCATGCATCCATCTAAACAGGCCGTGTTGTTGTCCTTCATGATGTGTAACTATGGTAAGAAAAAAAATCAGATAGTCTTTCTGGTATAACTGCTCCAAAAGATGCTTTTGCAAAAATCTAGTTTTGGATATATTGAATCAAAGCACAGCATACTTTGTTTTTTAATATTATAAAAATTCAGAGAACTGTGTATCATTTTCTTTCCACGTCACAATTGCACACTGCTTTTGTTAAGGTCTGTCACATTAAATCCCAATAAAGCACCTGGAGGTCTTACAGTTTTTAAATGGGAAAATATGAAAAAGATCAGGAGATATTAATACTTTCTAATGTCACTGCAAGCTTAGGGGAAAAAAGTTTTTAAAAATCTGTACAAGAGACTTTCTTAACAGTGTTTTGATCTTTTTTATTTCACCTACACACTGTTTTGTTTGTTTTTCAGTGAAGGAGATATGGTGCCTATAGATGGACTGTCAATCAAGGAAAAAGACAAAGAAGATGAAAAAGAAAAGAAACATGGAAATGGATCTAGCACAGTTACAACCGCCAGTCCAACTGACCAGTCGGCCGCTGTCACACAGTGAGTGTTTGCTCTTTGCTTGGGTGTTCAGTACACACAGTGAGATCAGCAAACACAAGGTTGCATTCTGTTAAATGCATAAGGAGTAGAGCTGCTGTCTGTCATGCCAGACAGTTTTATCTCGATGTGGAGGTATGTCAGCCTGACTCATCCTTGTCTCTTCTTGATAGGCTATTAAAAACATTAATACAGTAAAAATTAAAACACAATCAGTGGTAATATTAATCCGTTTATAGTTTTGAGTCCTGATCTGGATTTGAGGCATAAATATGGAATAAATATGAACAATATGTTCTATGAATCCTTATATGTAATGAAAGCTTTTAGCATTTTATCAGGAACTACACTTAAGTCTGTGGTCACGGTTGCAGCCGTCCTCTCTATTTGAAACCAGCTTCTATCATGTTGTGCTGCTCAGTGAAACTCAGCAATGCGCCGATCCGTGGGAACACAGTCCTTCAGAAACAGGAGTGGTGCATAGTTCTATAATTGGTAATTGTTTGTCTTAATGGATGAATTATTGTGTGTAATTGAATCACTTTGGTCTGGCCAAATTTCTTGGCTGCATTTTGTTTACCAAAAGGAGAAATTACTGTACTTATAACATGGCCTTTGCAAAAGTAACAGTTAACTTAGCATGTTCTCTTAATATTTGAAATATTTAAAAATCACATTTCCTACAATGATTTGTAAGTTACTTGTCAGTTTGACCTCCTGACCCATATTGTCATGAAAAGGCAAGCATTGGGTATTATTTGTTTGCACACAAAGGTTGATCCAAAACCTGATCTGCTTGTTTTTCCTATCGTAAAGACAAAGTGAACATGTTGCTTTAATTAATTAGATTTTTAATTTATTATGTTACTATAACAAAATAGCAGTGGTTCCGTCTGTGTTAAAAAAATTTGAAAAAAATTTTTTTGAAATAAGAAACATGCCTTTTTTTGGACCTGATCCGACCAAAGTAAATTATTGGAATGTGTGTGCCTCCTGATTTTAGTAGGAATAATAACCAGTAATGACACATTAGTTAAGCAAGCCATTACTTTGCTCGGCCTCCCTGTCTTAATTTATTGATTAATTAAAAAAACTGGCCTCTTTGCCAAGCAGTTTTATTCCACAACATAAAGGAAAACCACTACAAATAAAACAAAATAATCCATCATTCGTTTTTCCTCTTCTTGTTGGTGCAAAGTTTCAGCAGTTTAAATGTTTCTCTTTAGGAACTTGCATGTTGTAAGCCAGCAGCACATTAGAAAAAATATTTTCAAATTCATGTTCTCTCTACTTTTTGCGTTACAGAGAGATGCAGTCCCCTGCTAATGGACCGGCCTAGCAGCGCAGCACAGGCCCACCTTTCCCACCTTTCTGTTCAACGCGCAGCCATGCCCCCTTTTTTGCTTCCAGTTAGCAGAACCCCAAAGCCCTTTTGTTGTCTGAAGACATGTAAGTGAATAAAGATCGTCTGTTCTGGGGTCAAACAGCATTTATGCTGGAAAGTAGGCATCCACCCATGGGTAGTATTGATGTCTTATATGCGCCTTCATGACATTATTACAACTAAAGAGCTTCGAGGATACTGTAGAGCATTTCATCGTGCCACGCAGCTAAATTCAACTTCTTCTAACTCAGAATCTTAGATTATTTGGGTCTATTTTTTGCTCTTGAAATCAAGCCACACAGATTTGTTTTTCTAGCACAGGATTTGACTGTTTACACTTTAGAAACGAGAGCTACATTGTAAAAATCAGCCAAGATGCTTGACAAGTTGCCAGTTTCACCACCTCTGACTTTAGAAAATTAAACACGGACATTTTATTATAAGAAATGTAATTTTTTGTTTTTTGCTGCTTCAATTGTTCCATGTCTGTTTTCATTAGCTGTAATCACTTAAGAAAGAAATGGTCTTTGCATTTAGAGGATTGGATTTTGAGAGAATCACAATTCACTTCTGAAAAACCCATAATTTAGAAGTGTGTGTGTGTATGTGCGTGCTTTGCATACATGTGTTTGTAGCCATGTGTTTGTGTGTGTGTCGAGCTCTGTCTGTTACAGAGCGTAATCTCAGGTTTAAGGAGAGGTATGCAGATACAAAGAAAGCACACCTGTGTAACACACACTTACACACCGTTCCATACACACATGTATCAACAACCATATCCACGAACACATGCAAAGAAAAATAAAAAAACGCAAAATAAAAAAGAGCACATGGTGATGATGTGCACATACCCGTTCATACCACCCTCCAGAGGTGTTTCAATGTAATATTGTGAATTTTGAACCTGTATTAGGTTGTGGCTATTCTTGGTATTATGTAAACGTAACATAAATGTAAACATTATATATAAACATTATTATATCTATTTTTGGAATAAATCCAGTGTATGGAAATGAGGTTGTTTTGCAGGTTGCAGTGTGCGCGAGTGTATTTATGTGTGCGTGTTCTGTTGAAAGGCAATAATGATGTCTGTTTTTTGTTGACGGGCCAGCATCAGTTCCTGTTTCTTTGCTACTTGCTTCCTATATAGAAGCATAGGACTGAGCATGATGTGAATGCATGTCGGTAGTCTGCAGGACGTCTTCCGTAAAAATGATTCTAGTTATGTACAACTCAAGTTTTTTTGTTTCTTTTAATTATCATTTCTCAGAGTGAAACATTTGCTTTAGCTTTTAACTTGAAAGATTTATTCAGAGGAGAAAATGAGTCATTCGGAACTCAAACAACCTAAAAAGTATTATTTGAGTTTGAGGTTGTTTTTTTTTTTTGTTTGTTTTTTTTTTTTGCCTATTTTACTAAATTTAAGGTTTTGATCTTTTCTGTCATTTTCCATTTAGGTATTTTGTAATACTGAAATATTGCCTTCTTTAGCAGGACATTTCATTCCCATCGCTGGGTGTCTCAAATCCCTTTTAACAACTCGCAACTTAAATAATGTTCTGTATGTTACATAGTCTACAGCAAGGAAAAAGATTTTATAGTTCAAAACAAATTATATTTTTGGTTTTCTTTCATCATGCATCATAATCAGTAATCATTGGTAGTCAATGAGTAACCAAAAAGAATGCAATGGACTTTAGTAAATTTTCACAAATTGATGAGATTTGAAAATATTTTTCTCACACTTATCTAAATATTTCTTCCAAAAATTTAAAACAAAAGTAAACTTATTTGCCATGGCTAAAATATATTAGTAATTTCTGATACACAGTTGTAGCATAAAAGGACCAAATTACAATGCGTCTGTTCAAAACAGGAATTTGAATTGATAATGGAGCTAAGTGACAGAGTAGAGGTCATAAGTTTAAAAAAACTGATATGTTTTTGAACAGTTGCATACATAAAACGACTCCTTGATTGAAAGAACTGGGGGTGTCTTAGGCTAAATGTTTTATCTCAAAAACAGTAAAAACAGTTCTTTTAAGATGGGCTCCAGTCTAATGCTTGATAAAACTCCATATAAGAAACACAAAAACTTGGTCTAAGTTGTTATAAACCGCATAATTTATTTCTTTTTTGTTTGTTTGTCCTCTTTCTCAGGGTAGGAGTTGACTTTAATTGCATAAATGTCTCCTGAGTGATTGTTATAGTTATTTTGAAAAAGAAATCACTTTTTTAAGGGACATGTCTGATTTGTACTTGAGGTGCGCCATCTTGTTACTCCCTCCTCAAAGAGGCAGGGGGAATTGGACTTGAAAAAAGCAAACCATGTAGATACTGTAGTTTTTTGGGGGTTTTTTTTCATTTTTTTTTCATCAGTGGTCTCTGCCAAAGTGTGGCTTCCCTCCAGTGGCATAGCTGAGATTTATCAAGCGCAGCCTCTTTTTGGTCCCCCGTCTGTGTTCCCCCAAAGTCATACGGTGTAGTTAAGAGCAGAAAAAGCGGATAGACTGAGTCAAAAAGAAAGTATTTGAAGAATAGGTTACAACTTTTCACTTTTATCTGTCCAGGACTTTTGAGCTGTTTGAAGTTCTCAGAAATTGAGGTTTGGGGTTAAAAACAAATAGCTGTGTACAGGGTCGGAATATTTTAAACCTTCTTTAATGAAAGTTAAAAACCACGTCGGACCCACAGTGTTTGTATGTCTTTGGGTATAACGGGTATGTTGCAATGTGGTAGGATATGGTTCAATTTTGAGTGCCATTAAGTTTGCACATTAGCCTCATTTACCTCCTTGGGTATACGTCCAAAGTGGAAAAAACAAATACTTACCCATTATCTAGTATAAACGGTGCCTTGCAAAGTATTCATACTCACTGATCTTTTTCATTAGCACATTTTACAAACATCTGTGTGTTTTCCTGGGATTTTATGACAGCTTAACATAATTTGTTGAATACTTGTAAAGCAGAAAGAAAATTGTGCTTTCTGTTCTTTTAGCAAAGAAAAATCTGAAAATTGTGGAGTGCATTTACATTCGGTGCATCTAAATCTTTACTTTGCAGAACTACTTTTTGCTTCCAACACAGCTGCGTTTTTTGGGGACTGTCTTTGATAGCTTTGCACATCCAGTGGCTGAATTTATTGTCCATTTTTCTCAACAAATTTCAAGTCTAGCCACTGTTTCTTAAAGACGTTTTGCTTTATGTTATGAGTTGTTATCATATTAAAAAATAAACATCCATTTCAAATCTTCAGCTCCCTCCAAAGTGTATTTAGATTCATCTGTCTGTTCCCAACAAAGACTAACATCCACACAGCATGACACTGCCACCACCATAGTTTAAGATGGTGATGTTGTGTTCAGTGATAGTATTCCATCACGTGGTTTTGCATATATTGACCAACGAGTTCAGCTTTTCTCCTCATCTGACCACAGGACTTTGCTCCACATGTTTGCTGTGTGTCCTGTTTGGCATGTAGCAAACAAGAAGCAAGACATTTTAACAGTGGCTTTCTTTAAGGCAGCATTTGTTGAGTTTGCAACTAAGACCTGTACTAATAGTTGACTTCTCATAGTTTACAAGTTGGAAAAGGTAGTAAAGGAGGATGAGTACAAATGCCTATTATGGTTTTCAGATTTTTACACCATGATAAAAGTTCCAAGAAATATGAACACTTTTGCAAGGCATTATAGTTTGAGGCCATTTTAGAGTTTTTCTTGCACTCTAGCTTATTTTTGAATCTGTGTGTGTGTATATGTTGGGAAAAGTGTTGGCAAAGACAGCCGTGTTGTTAAATGCCTTTTTTTGTAAAGTGAACTGATGCTGGTGGGTTTTCTTTCCTTTTCTCCTTTATTTTCCTTTGGGAGTATCGTGTCTGTTACCTGTTGTCTATTTAGCTTGTACATTCAGATATGAACCTAATAAACATGTCAAAAAAAAGGAAGAAACTTGAGCGTCCGTTTGTCTCACTCACCGCTCGGGGCCTGTTGTAAGACTCATTCACAAAGCAAACAAAGCCATGATATGGAGAACAGGACTCCCACATTCTTGTTTACTTCAGGCTCAGGTGGATTAGGTTGCATCTCATCCACATTTGTGCTACACCCTCATATCCTCTCCATCATAAAGCTGCCTCTCATTTATTTCAAGCTGTGCTCCGGACCCCTTTCCGGTGCTCCTACACGTCTCGTATTAGCTATTTTCATCTTGTAATCTTATCTAGATATCATTCGCGGGTGTGTGTCTCCATTCCGCCACTTGTCATCGCATTCCTACATAACTCTCGCAAATATACCAAACACACATCCAGCTTCTCCAGTTGCTTCTTAACCCTCTCCTTCTCTCCAGCAGGTTTCTAATTTTTTTTTTTTTTGAAAAAAACTTTTGCACCATTAGTTTGTCATCTGTACCTGGCTGTTTCATCTGTGAAGCGTTCACTTATGTGAAGCGTTCACTCATGTGAAGCGAGTGGGTGGGGAGGAAGGCGGAGTTGTTTTGTACTTTTATGGGTTGTAGAGAAACCTGCCTGTCTGCTTCGAACGGAGAGAGAAGGAGGAGCCTGCTGGGTGTGGGGCTCCAGACAAAGGAGACATAAACACACTGACACTGGAGAAGTGGAGCAAAAAAAAAAGAGACAGCTGGAAAGCGTCATTTTGCCTGAACTCCCAACTATAATTTGGGAAACATCTTGAAGAAGGGATTTATTTGGAGTGTGTGTGGGAGCTGTGGGAGCCTGTTTGCAAGCTGCTGAGGTATGTTTGTGTTGGAGCTGGACTTTACGTATGCTGCTGCCCACAGTGTGCAGAAGTTTGTGGGTTAGTGTGTTTGGGATGGAAAAGTGGGGCTGGCTCAGCAAACAGCTCTGCTCTTAGCTTTGCGCCATGGGGGGCTGCCACAGTTACCCCTCGGCTACAAAGGTAGACACCAAGACTCCTCAGCCGTCTGACATCCACAATGAGAAACTGTAAGTTGCATTTCCTCTTACCTACTTCTTGGTTTACATATAATTGAATATCCTTTCCTGCGCTCTCTCTCTTTCTGCTGTTCTCTTGATCTTTTCTAATGAATCCAAATGTTGAACAAACTGATACTATTATTATTACTCCAAAAACTAAACTACACATGGGTCAGAAGAATGCCCTCCAGACCAAAACTAAATGTATGTGTGTCGCATATTTGTGTGATGCCATCAGTGATTGTGGGTTTCTCTTACACCAGTAACACATGTTGGCCAGAAGATGATTGCTCCTAGTTTCCCAGCCTACTGTCTGTGCTGAAGAACATTAACTTCAGCCTTACGGCTGACGGAAAGGTGACCAGATGGCCAAAAGCAAAGGTGCAGCATTGTCAAGGGTGCTGGGGGGTTCTGTTTACACACAAACATAACATTACGAATGGCCTCCGGGTTCATTGTGCTTGTGTGTGCTGCCAATCGGTAGCCAGGAAGCTGGTAATTAAGTTAACACCGTGAAGCTGCAGAAGAGCAGGATGTTGGTATAAGAAGTTCCTGTGGACATTAGAGGAGTTTGGCTTGGATTTGTGCTACTGTGCCACGCATAGCAAATGTTTACCTTGTTCAATGTCACTATTCACCCCAGTGCCTATACCTTTAGACAAAAAAAACCCTCCTGTTTAAACCATTAAGCAAATTGTCTCTCCCCAGCCACCTTTCTCTCACACATATTTACACCGGACCGGAGGGGGGGAGGAGTGAAACCTCATACAGAGAACAGTGTTTTCCTTATCAGAAAAGGCAAGGTCACCGTGTAAACCTTCAGCTGCTGTGTGTGTGGACATTTGAAAACTGCATGGCAGCTGCATTCTTCCCTGTACTTATATTAAAGAAGTATAGTTTTTTTTTTTTAAGTGAAACTTTTTCCACATTTTGTCACTTTACAACCACAGCCTTCAATATATTTTGAAGGATTTGATAAGAGAAACCAACATAATGTATTATTGTGAAGTGGAGGAAAGGCTAAAACATTTTTTTATTAAAATCTGAAAATCTAGCTTGGATGTATTTAGCCATCATCATTTTGATACCTTTAAATAAATTGATAACAGGAGTCACTTAATCAAATATAATTCAGGACTCCAATATAGTCTAGAAAAGTTACCGGTAGATTATTTCTGTTTCCCTTCTTTTCTATCTTATCTTCTTCCTCCTGTCCTCTGACCTTCCTGCCTATTGTTCTTCATACCCACCTTGTTGACTTTAGTAAGTCTTTACAACATATGTTGTGGTGGGCTTCCTTTCATTCTTTATTTTTTTTCTGTCTCTTTTTCTTTTATCCAACTTCCTATAATTTCCTTTCGTGTGTTCTTCCTGTGTTTCCTTCCTTGTGTGCATCCTCCTTTTATTCCACTCCTTACATCCTTATTTTTGTCACTTGTTTCATTCCTCCCTAACCTTTTGTTCCTTCTCTCCCTGATTTGGTTTCTTTCCTTTTCATATGCCCTTCTATATAAATTACTACCCATTCTTTACTTGCTTTTAGTTGGCAAATACATTTATTTCAATCCTGCCCACTGCAGAAATATCTGACAATTTAGTGGTGGATTTTAATATCTTATATCAATATAAATGTAAAATACCTAAAACCTGGAAAATATGTGAAAGAAAAGTGTGGTTGTCTAGTTATTTAAACTTTGCAAATTGTTGTGTGAAGTTTTTTTTTTTTTTTAGAAAACCTTTTGAATAACAGCATTTTGAGAACCACAAAATGGATTATTATTTGTAAACAAAAATGAAAAGTATAAAAAGGATTTAAAATACTTAAAAAAATTCCCCACTAATGTTTCAGGGAAAAGTGTTGACTCTGAACAGGCCAGTCAAACTTATCCCCCTATTTTAAATAGTCAAATTACGTTGCCATGTTTGGCTTTCCAGAAAATGTGGGCATTTGCATTAAGCATTTCCTGCAGACACTCCAAACATGTCCCAATGTCATTCTCAACACTGGGAAGTGGTGCATGGTGCAAAGCCTCACAGCTTTACTCCATCCACTTATTTTCTCTGCAGCCCTGACCACTGCAGCAGTCGGCCTCATTAACAGTAATTACCGCAGCCCTGATTTGATTGACTTTATTGCATTAACTGCTGAAGTATTGCTGTTTTTGCAGTATTTTTTATGTTTTTCCTGATGTGTGAGCCAGCAACAAAAGGCTCAAGACAGACGAGTGCATTATCTCCAAACTGCAGTAGGACTAACTAATCCTCCAGCCCATTGGTTGTTTTACGGGGCTGTATTTTACCATTCTGCAGTCTTTCTAATTTTGTTCCTTCGCTTCATTAACTTTATGCTGTTTTCTCAAGCGGCATCAACAACAATATCCAGGAGGAGTGTCCGTATCTGCAGCGGCAAAACGCTTGCCAGAGGATCACAGACGCCAACATGTTTGCCCTCATATCATTGCCGCCTGGCATGGACAAAGCAGAGTGGCTGGCCAGCAACAGTGAGTCTCAGCTGATGTTTGTGTTTTACAATAGATGCCAGGAAAAAACATGGCTACTGGTATTCATGTTTGTTGTGTTTCAGCTGTGGCTTTTTTCAAGCACATAAACCTGTTCTCCAGCGCCATGTCAGAGTTCTGCACTCCCAGCACTTGTCCAACTGCCTGCGGACCAGGCAACATGTAAGTTACTGAGCATTACACTGCAGCCATGTGGAGTGGCTAAAGGTGAAAAATGACATGGTACGGCTTATTTAAAGGCTTATTAAAGGCTTTATTAAAGACAAAATAACAAAAGAGTAGAAATAAATCACTATGTAAGAAATAAATCACTATGTAAGAAAATAAATTTTCTTACATGGTCTTAATGTAAATTTTCTTACATAGCTATTTTCAAATTTATCTTAAACTATAACTATACAGATAAAGAGAACATCTGTCCCTTTATAGAACATGTCTGTTTTTGCTTAAAGTGAATGTTTAATTCTTAAAAGAATCAAAAAATCTGAAGCATTGAAATTGAACAGGATTTATTTAAATACCAGAGAGTTAAAGATGTTGGCGTCTAGTGGCTCCAACATCAGCACAGTGATTTATGTTTGTGAATATTCTCTGGAGACATAATAATGAACCATGTGCATATAAAATGACCACAACAAAACAGTTTAATAAAAGGTATCTGGAAGCTCTTATAGGATGAATAAAAAAAAAGAAGAAAAAAAACTTTAATTACAACAAAGCAACCCCAAGTGTTTTAATCATTAAATTGTCTAATTGTCCAAAAATAACTCTTAAAACACATTGTTTACAAATAATCCATTTAAAACGTGATCTAGGGAACAAACCAATAATGCCTGGATTTAGACGTCTTCACCACAGCAGACGTCTGAACTGAATGGAGTATTTAGATACTGTGATTCAATATATTGTATAGCTTAGCACCATTTCAATGGGAAGAAGGAACCATCTGACACAATATGTCACCTCCTCATGAGGGTCTTTGTTCCCATCTCCAGGGTCTACTTTTGGATTGATGACCACGGCAGGAAACTGAAATGCTCTGCTCCACTTTACTTTGACTACGCCATGTCCTACATTCAAGAGCTTCTGACTGATGAAGACGTGTTCCCCACTAAAGCAGGTAGCTCGCACTTATATCTTTATGCTGCTCTGCCACACATCTTCATCCAGGTGGAATTTAATATCCTTGTTTTCTTTTCTTTACTTCAGGTGCAACTTTTCCGACGGGATTCATCTTCCTGGTTCAGAAGGTTTTCCTGCTGCTTTTAAGGACCCTGGCTCACATTTACTGGTCTCACTACAGTGAGGTTCTTGCTCTGGACATGCACCCACACCTCAACACTCTTTTCTCCCACCTGACTCTTTTCTGCCAGCAGCACTCGCTGCTGGAGCCTGAAGACATGAAGCCTCTGCAGGACCTTATTAGCGCTCTGGAGCGGCACAGATGAAACGCTCAAATTTCCCCGCTATTGTTTATTTATTGGTTTCAGTCTGTAATATCAGACTCTTCTTTGCAGAACTCCAATTTATGTCATAGCTTAGATTTTTTTTTTTAAGACAAGTCTGGAAGATGTAAAATGCCAAGATGATATGAGAGTAATGCTTCCAGTTGGGAGCTCAGTTATTCAGTTATTGTCTTTTTTTTTATCATTAAATCTATATTGCATGTTGGTTTTTACCATAGCTGTGCATTATTTTATTGTCGTCATCCATACCTTTTTTCATGTAATATTCAACTTAAATGTTACTTCAAGAATTAATTGTGGCCAGCCAAATGGAAATGTTGCTGTTCTAGGATTCTTCAGGCCCCACAAGAGCAAAGTGTGGCTGTAGTTACTATGAACTTTCATCTCTGCATAGTAAGATTTTGTTCAATCTTTTTAAAAGATTGTGATATGATGAGCGACTGAATGCTTTTTATTAAAAGTATTTTTTTATGTGAAGTTTGGTGTTGGAAAGTGGAGGATACCAGATTTTTTTTTCTGCTCTCCTTTTGTTTCTTTAATTCCAGATTTTGGATTTTAGCATAAAAACAATTCAAAGTGGTGCCATTCATCTTTTATGTAACTGTGCACAAACCACTTTATCCTAGGTTTATTGAGACATTTCAGGATCCAACCCTGATTGATTACCAAGATCCCATGAAAAATAAAATAGAAATTCCTTTATTGCCCCACAATGGGGAAGTTTTTCAAACTTTGATCAACGTTTTCAACATTTTTCTTTCTCTAGTGTTGAAGCGTAGAAAAATGGAAACACAAATGTGTATTTTTCAAATTACACATTTGAAAAATGTGTGATTTAATGCATAATGCTTATTTTTACCCTGTCTGTGCCACTGACAAAAAAAAAGAAGGATTTTGAAAAAATCTGTTTTTGACTCTTACCTTTTGCTTAGTTATCTTGCAAAATAAACGTGGTCAGCATAACTGTAGGTTAAAGACATTTAAGCTGTGTATGTTATCTGTTGTAAAACATTATTCATAGACTGTAACTGTCTATCACAGGTGAGATGTTGATTGATTTGCATGAATTAAGTTTATAAAAAATACTTTAAAAGAATGCAAAATAAAAGAAATGCAACTTCTGGAAAGAAATGATTGTCGTCATATCAAAGAGAGAAAAGCTTAAGTTCACTTTACTATGTTAACGTTCTCATTCACCACATCTTAACCCAGTAGATACAAATTTCACATATTAGCTAATACTTCATTCCAAATGACCCTTTACAATGTAATTGTTACATGTTGTAAGCTGTGCAATACTACCAGGGATCTTATTTTAGTATTTTTAATTAATTTACCACAGTCTTTTTAAAAATGTAATGTAGCAATTTCTAACAGTATAATAATTTTAGTTGTTTAGGTGGTTTTTTTTTTTTTTTTTTTTTTTTTTACATACAGCTCTTGCAGTTGGTCATCTTACCAATAGAAATGCATCAGTTTTCTTTTCTAACTAACAATATGTTTTTAAATCACAACGCTTTCAAACACATGGAAAATTTACAAAAATTATATATTGCAAAAAGGTGAACATGAACATGATTGCTCTTTCAATAATAAATCAAAAGCGTTTGGACATCTTTTAACTGGTCATCTTGTAATTTCTTATATCACCACTAAGGGGCGAGCAAAACCATGCAGCTGTAACCTGCAGGTCGATCAGTCCAGGTACTCATTTAGCGATCTAATTTTATTTCTTTACTTCCTCAATGAGTAATGCATTTCAAAAGAACACTTTAATGTACAAAAACCTATCCAAAAAACATTGCAAAGATGTTTTAAATGGGAAAACTATCATCATACTAATAGTCAAGTATGAGAAAAAAAACCAAATAATAATTATTGCATCTTAAAATAAAACACCACATTTACAAAAATCCAAATCATTCTGCCAGAACTCTTCAGCATGGAACCAGTCCAGGGTTGAGGCTCTCCTTCTGAGAGTTATGAATTGTTCTGGTTTACACTGGAATGACAGACAACAAAAAATAGTGAAATGTTACAACTTCACTGTTGCATACAAACCCGCTCACAAAATTGTCAGATTTTTGAAAAGTTCCTTTTTAGAACTCAAATCATTTAACACATTACATTGATTAATGACATAAAGATAAATGTTTCAACCCTTTATTTATATTAGTCATGATGATTTTAAACACACAACGCAATTACATCAACTGTAAATACAGCATGGTGATTTATGGTTGGTTTATAGAACACAAAAATGATCGCATCAGAGACACTTTAGCAGCACCTGGTGGTCAAAGTTATTCATAGTTTTGCTTATTTATTACTAAAATACTATTTTAAGGGTTTCTGTGGTGGCTCAGGAGTTAAGCACAACTCACATGTGGAGGCTTTGGTCCTCGACTCAGCTGTTGTAGGTTCGATTCCCGGCCTCGCGACCTTTGCTGCACATCTTCCCCCTTCTCTCATTACACACTTTCCCGTCATATGAAGGCCACCAGAGCCAATAAAACCTTTAAAAAATATTGAATTTTCAGAATGAGATTGCAAAAAAAAAAAAAGGGATTCATTTATTTAATTTCTTTTTCATCTTATCTTTACTAGGAGTAAAATGTAGCTGGTATTATAGGCTTGAGAAGGAAATCAGGGGAAAAATAGTGAAAAGGTTAAATTAAAAATGGAGTGAGCAGAGATACCTAAGTACAGTCTCTGATTTCAGTCTGAGTTGTAATGAAAACTGAATCTTTGCATGGTGTTTTATCTGCAAAGGACTCAAAGAGGGAGAAAGGATAAATGTGGGTTGTACGGAGTGTGTGTGACTGCACACACCTGCAGTCACACACACTCCCAGGCTTGTTCTCCAGGCAGGTTGAAGATGTGTTAATGTACATGCTGGACTGAGTCGAGGCTGCAAACTGAGCTTGGACTTTAATACAGCAAACTGCTGAGTCATAGACAGGAGCGCTCTCACCGCACAGTTCTTTAATTAAGATCTGAAGCCACCTCAAAATACAGAAGAGTCCTTTAATTAGACTCAGACTCTGATGTTCTCCTCTGTGTCCTCCTTCGCAGAAAAGAAAAGTTCTTTCATGGTAAAAATAAAGAGAGAAGAATTTAATCGCAGGTTGCTTCAGAGCTGAACTCTTTGTTCATCACAATCAGTTCATGCAAAGCTAAAACCTTCTTTGCTGTTCTAGTGTGTAAGAGTATTTTTTCCTTAGTTGCACGTGAGTCTGCAGGTTAGGTGCATGTGAGTTACAAACAGATCATCTGAAAGCATCATCAGCTGAGAGCTGGTCTTACCAAACTAAATCCCAGCGCTGCTGGACTCAACAGGAGAACGTTACAAAGCAGTAAACGAAATTGAAAATGTTTTAACAAAGAGGTTTCAGAAATGAATTTGCTTGAAATCACTTCATTCAATTTTATTTGCTGAAACACGCCGAGGACAGCAGTTAAATGTCAACTTTTGCTGCTGACCTTATAAATGTCAAAATGTCTGTCCTCTTCGGAAAAAACATTGTAAAAAGGCTTGAAGGGGTACAAACATCTGACTCTTTTTACACTTTTGGTACGTTATTTTTTCAGAGAATTCATTCCAGATGTGTATTCATAACAGTTAAGAGGCCATTTAAGAAATAAAAGTTTACCAAATTATATCTAAATTATAAATAATTTATGTAAAGGCACTTTTCATCAAACCTCAGAAGATTTTAAGCCTTTCTTTCAACAAATAGACTTTCATTTTTAACTCTGTCCTCCTGCAGCACTTAAGTTACATTTTCCATATTTTTAATTTTATTTTGACTTTTGTTTGATTTTGTAAAAGGTCTTGCATGGGTTTAATTGTCAGAATATGCTTATTAATGAAGGATATCTAAGTATTAAGTATGACAAATTTCTCTATTACACAATTATCTTCCAGTTGCATTATAACGCCAAAAGAATTGACATAAAATCAAACTTTAGATTCTCTAAATAATCTTCAGGGGTCCTATTACTCAGGCTTACACATTTACACAATGCAACACACGGTTTTCTGCTCCAACTACTATCACATGAGAAGACTGGAGCTTTAAGGGGAGTTTAATTAGATTATTGGAGGTTTTGGTTGTTGAGGAGGAAAGAGAATAAGCCTCCCTCCTCCCTCCTCCTCCTGCTTCTCCAGAGTGGATTTATAAATGAGAAACCCTCCTGTTGTTCCCAAAGAGCACTCCAATCAAGTACTGACTTCTCACGTCAGATAACAGGTCAGTGCTCAGAGGACGCAGCAGACTCACCTGATGATGCTGACTTTCGTTAAAGCCAATCCGGAACTCTTTACCTGTTAGGTAGGACTTATAATCTACAGTTTTGCTTTGACTGTTTTCTTTGTTGTTTAAAAAAAAAAAACTCTCATTTTAGATCCTACCTGGCTCTACTGAGATCTACCTCCTACAGGAAGGGTTGCCCCTCTCTGCTGCCATGACCGGCTTCCCTCTGCTGTGGCTGTGCTTGCTGCTCAGCCTCCTGCCTCTGGAGATCCAGTCCCGGGGTCTGAGAGCTCGCAGACACAGGTAACCCTCTGCTTTCTTGAATCAGAAGCTCTTAAAGCAATTCAGATTACTGTTTGCACTCACACAAAAACAGCAAATACACATAAATCATGTTTTTTATTTGCTAAAGTCTTGTTTTGTTTTCAACACAAAGCTAATTGTAATGGAATTGGACTTTGGAAAAGAACAGCTCTTATGTAACAAGATTATTGTGAACTTTTAACATCAGCAGAAGTAGCAACATAGGATGATAAGTGTTGCTTAATAATAATGATAATAATAATAATAATAATGTATTTAAATATTCACTTGTTTTTGTTTTGTTGCTATTTTGTAGACTTAGGTTCATTCAATTGAATTCAGTGATTTTCTAAACCTTGTCAAGAACTTCAACACTTAACCTGCAAGCAAAGCCCTGTGGAGTCTGTCTGAAATTTTATAATTAGAGTTAAAAGGGAGATATTATGTCAAATAGTATTTTTTGAGCTTTATATCATGCTTTAATATTATTCCTTCATCAAAAACATCCCCAGAGTGTCGCTTTGATTTTTTTTCATGCATGAGGAATGCTTCAATCTCCCTTGGCAGCCATTAAGGGGGTGCTAAAATGCTTGCTAAACGCTGCCTATTTGTACTAAGCAGTCTCTCCCTCTGCCTCGTCAGACTGAGGTAGATGAGTCTGCAGCAATTAGCAAACAGCTGGTGGAGCGGAGGAAATGCTGAGCTCATCATGCAAACTTCTCAGTCCAGCGTTCCTAAGAGCAATTGTTAATGACATAATGAGAAGCATGGTTGTCATGACATGCTCAAAGCAGAATGTTGGAAAAAGTAGAAGCTTCTTAAAAAGACAGAGACCCAATTTCAAGACATCAAATTTCTGGTCATGTTTCTAAAAAAACTTTTAAGAAATTTACGTGACAAAGTTACTTAATTTCTGCTTAAAAATGACACTATGTACCTGGAAAATACATAAAATTGCCCCTTAAAAAGGTGAAGCACTCATGATTGTAGTTCAGAGCAGCAGCTGGTGAAAAATGAAGTACATTAGTGCTTTTTGGCATTCATTTATGTGGGAAAAGGGTCCACCACTAGAACGAGGTTATTTGTCTCTGCAGCAGGAGGTAGAGATGGAGGTGAGGGTGATTTAGTGGGATTTGGGGCAGGAATACATTCACATACCGAGGGGCCAAGTTTCACCCTGGCAGTCGCAATGAGGGAATCTACAACAATATAAACACAAAGAGCAAGACAATGTGGAAGTCAGGCAGGACAATTCAAGGTAAACTAGTTTAACCTTAATAACAAACCCCTGGATGTGGAGGAGAGAAAAAAAAACATCTGACAGTTATTCAACTCAGGCTGATATTGCATCACACTGCCACTTATCCAAAATGCCAAAAGAGAACAAGAAGCTGGTAAAGAGCAAGAGAAAAGGAGGACCTCATTGTGAAACAGCGGGAATCGGATGGAGACTCAAAGTTTTGTCTGTGCAAAAAGAGTTTCGAGGAGTAGAGGAAGGGAAGTGTGTGAGCATGCTGATGTGTGCTCATTTTGTAGACAATCTCTTGCTGTGTTGGACCATGGGAGAAATTTTGGTGAAGCTCATTTTGATCTCTGTCTCCTCATTGGTTCACATTATTTGTTCCAAAATTCACACAGGAAGAGAGGAAGTAAGATTATTTTTGACAATTCGAACTGGTGGATGTTTTTATTTTTAACAAGGAAGAGGATATGTCTTTACAACAAGCTAGACGTATTCAGTGATTTTCTAAACCTTGTCAAGAACTTCAACTTACATGTCATTGAACCTGAAATTTCAAGCAAAGCCCTGTGGAGTCTCAAATATATCTCATCTGTTTCACTTGGGTTCTATTACTACATGTAGGGTGTGTCATGAAAGTCAAAGTGCTAAACTTCCAGAAATGATTTTTTTCCCACTACAATATCTTCATCTAATGTTTTGAATTTATAAAGTGAAGATATGTTCAGTGATCAGTCATTAGTAAGGATGAGGAAGTCAGGAAAAGTGTTTGGTGACGCAAACGAGGGACATGAAAGTCTTATGTTCTAAATCCAGTCCCCCACAGGAGTGAATGGTTGTTATTGTGACAATAACTGTAATTCAAAACCTGAATAATTCTGGCAACATTCACACTGACTTTCTTCTGTGGTTCTAACCAGCAATGTTACACTGCAGATCTAGGTGAGATACCTGATGCTCACTTCCTTCCTTTTTTTTTAAGAGAGATGCGTCCACAAATATTTTCCCCTGTGAAACATTGCTTTTGAAATTACTTTTTCACTTCTAAAAAGAGAAATGCAGAAAGCATTTCTGTTTCATATTTTCAGTATTCATAGGTTTTATGGTTAGAAAATATATTTTCCCTTTTAAGTGACAAGTTCTTAAATGGACATTTAAAATCATGAACACTTGCATTACTACACCCATCCGGTATTTTGTGTGTGGCTTGTTTTGTCTTTTTTCAACAGCTTCAGATTTCCTAAACATCCCAGTTCTGCATCGTTTTGCACTTTAAAAGAGTTTCTTACACATGAACAGCTCAGTTTATTTTGTGCCTCAAACAAAAAAATAATGTTTCTAGACAAAAAGAATAAACAGAACTTATGATGTGCGTAGACGGATCAAAGGATCAAGAAGATGTGTTCATTAAAAATAATGAGGTCAAACCCATGACGTTAATAGTGTTTCACTTATCCAGGAGAACATAATGTTTCCCACAAGAAATGTTGTGAACATTCAGAAACAAATTTTTCTTTCATTACCTTTCATTTCTTTTGGCTAACTTTTTTTTCTTTTACAACTGACGCATAACTCTGTACGCATAATAAATTTGAACCAGCTTTATTTAATTTTAACTTACATAACTCCAAAAAACAAATGGGACTCCCATGATCCACAGACACATTTGGTCAACTACAAGTGGCTGCTTAGCCACATAATTGCTCTGGAGTGCTTTAGATGGGTAGAAAGATAATATACATATTTTTGATACGTTTAAATAATACAATAGTTTGTGTAAAGTGTGGGTATTTTTACATTTATGTGCAATTTAACAATATAATCAATTATCAAGAAATGGAATTGGGTACATGTTATCCATTTAGGACACATTGAAACCATTTAAAACTGCTTTTACCAGTGAAACACACAGTGAGAGATTACATTTGTGTTGGCAGTGTGGAGGCCCGGTGTCCAGCCAGAGGAGTGATCAGAAAACCAGCTGGAATTAGTTGCTGGATAACTAACTGTTTTCTTGCCCACTTTTTACAAGCAACAACCAAACAGAAAAATCTTTAGCAATCATTCTTAAATTTTGTTTAAAGTGAAATTAATTGTGTGCATACTTTAGCAAAGCAATATACATGAATTCCACTATTGTGGTTCAAATACATAACTTTTGTGACGATAATCAACTTTTCTATGTCGTTACAATTTTTCCTCAAGTGTTCTGGATATTGCATAATCTCTAAAAGGTCATGTGACTTATGCATTTGAACTCTTGAACGTCTAAAGAAAAAGAAAACCGTATCTTGTGATGACTGAAGACAAAAACTTTGCAAGTCAGCACGGAGGTGGGAAAATGAGTGCTTTAAAGACACACATGGGAAACAGTGTTGGAGCCTCTGCAACATCTATAATGTGTATTCATGGCTGTAACTTCCTTGTTCTTTCCCTCTTTGCTCCTCTGAAATGCATCAGCTGCATGCTGTCGTTGATTAACTCGACATAATAATTTCTTTAAGCTGTGCTGATGACAGAGCAAACAGTAGCGTCAGCTGCTTCTCAGGTCTGTCGGTTTGAACCACTCCAGTCTGGTTGGGTGCAGCAAGAAGAGCAAACTTCAGGGGTTGCTGGCCCATATTTGAGCCTCAGGGAAATGTCAACTATTTACTAAGAAATTACAAAGGAAATAAATAATCATTTGTTTCCTTTGAAACAAAAGTGTAGGCAAAAGTGCCTACACTAAAAACTATTCTCAATTGTGAATTATTTTTGTTGGTACTGTCTCTATTGATAGTTTTGGTAGAACTAGAAACAATGAAATAGTAACATAGGTCTTTTTTTTTAAATAAAGAATAGCAATAAATTAATTTCCCATTTGTAAAAAACAAAAAAACAAACAATATATTTAAAATGTCTTCTGTATTATTTCCTCTTTTTTCAGGTTAGGTGAATCCAGAATCTATAAAGCGTCTTACCCCAACTCTCCACCAGGTGTGTCTGATCTTTCTGCTGCCATCAGTAATCAAATTCCACAGGAAAACACACAACACACTGTGAGGGCCCCACTGCACAGAGACCCATCATCAAAGTTGTCTGACATGCTTCTTCGTAGAAACAATAAGACGCTGCCGGTGGAACCGGTGCGATCGCGAGGGTCACGGGGTCGTCGTCATGCCAACAGTGGAAGTTCAAGGGGCCACGGTCATCTGATGAGGGTGAGGTGCGTTCTTGGCACCTGTCAGGTGCAGAACCTCAGCCACCGACTCTACCAGCTAATTGGACAGAACGGCAGAGAGGACTTGTCCCCCATTAACCCCCGCAGCCCCTACAGCTTCGGCTAGCACCACACCTCCAATCAGAGACGTACTGGAACAGCTTTTCCAAATCACTCATTTCCATTGGACCACAGATGGAAAACTTAACACTCATGTTTACCCTCTCCATTTAGAGTTTTGTTCATTGTTATAGCAGTAATTTTCAGTGACTTTTTGATAGCACTGTTCTCACTGAGGAATTTCTTTAGATCTGTGAATGTTACAGAATTTATGAAGAAAAAAAAATGCTGTGAGAGAGTTAGATGTCAAACAAACAAAGGGTAAATATGGCCTAAGAACTAAATCTGTAAATTGCTCAAATGTTCCTGAGAGAAAAAGAGCCAACTGGTGGTGTGTCACATATGCTTTGTGATTTTTCTTTGTCAATGATGAGGGGAAGTGGCAGGAAACCCCAGCTTCCTATAATTAACATATAATTAACATTAACATCTAAAGAAAGGATAAATTGGAGAGGAAATGCCTGATCAAGCCAGAAGTGTCCAGTCTTGATTCAAAGACCAGGGGCACTCACAGTTTATTGTTTCTTTTATAATAAATTGTGTTTTTCATGACAAGTTGAGGCAAATTTATGGTTTCTAAATCAGCCGTGGTATGTGATGGCCAGTTAAGATTCGTCCATGCAGATATCCCAATCAGAACTTTTTGTGATACCAATCAGCCATTTTGGATTAAGCATTTGCAATATTACAGAGATTTTATTCAAATTGAACACTTCTTCTTTCAGAGCAGAGCTCCTACCACTGTCTCCACAAAAAAATGTAAAATGATGGAAAGGCTATTCTCCAAAACCAAAGATCTGCAGATGTCAACTTTTCTCCAAACGAAATCTGTTGAGCACATTTGAACAATGAGTTAAGAGTCTTACCTTTTAATTCAGCATAACGTTCAAAGTATGGTTTCAATTTTAGTGATGCATGAAATATAAAGCAGCAATAATCATTCATTATTTTATGAATTCATAGACTTAGTTTCTGTTTTGAAGCTTGAGGTAATCCAGTGACATTTATGCTAGTTGAACTGTGATAAATACAGATTTACCAGAAATCATCAGATATTCACAATTATTAACTGTATTTGGAACAGAAAACACCAGGATCATACATTATAATCAATTAGATGACAAAACGTGCCTTATCTTAATGTCCTTTTAGAGTAAATACTACAAATAAGTACATATAAATTCTACAATCGTGTGGTTTTTTCACCAAGTTTAACACATATTTTGTCAGCAGACTATTTTCTCAAACTTAGCTGTCTGACTAACATCAGCTTTCAGCATCAATATTGTTCCTGCTGTCTGAACTTGAGTGAGCTCAGCGCTAATCTCCAAAAAGCACTTTAATCTCCATGTGCAAACAAGCAGCTTTAGCAGCGGGGACAACCTCTGGCCACAATGACCTCTCACTCCAAACGCTCACAACTCAATCAACTAAAACGAATGCTGCTAATCTTTCTGCAGATTTCTCAGCAGAAACTGAAGGTTGTCTTAACTTTCAGAACTAACAGAGGACAGTGGATGTATCAAAGTACTGACTAGAAACTGTAACAGAGTGGGATGCAGTCTTTTTTGTAGTAGTTATTTCCAGGCTTTTAAAAGAAGCCTAATTGGGATTACTGCAATTGAGGTCTGTTTTTGTCCCTTCTGTTTCTGTGTAGGAGTTCAGTCACTTTAGTCTTGACTCAGTTTTGCTCTAAACTGTAACAGAACAACACAAAAGCACTTTGTAAGCATTAATTTTAAAAGCAGGTCTTTATTTCTATGTCAATAAACTACTGAACAAATTCCTCAAGTGTCCTTTTTTGAGAGCCACTTTTGCTCGGTTTTAGATTTCGCAGAGCTGTTCAATCGGTCATTTTAAAATAGAAAGAGAATGGCAGAACTTCAAACCTACCTATTGCTGTTCACCTCCTAAAGTGGGGAGCCATTTCAGGTGAGCTTCAATCAGCAAAGCAATCAAGAGTGGTCTGGTAACTTTGGTGGAGCTGCACAGGGGAATTAATACACATGAGCTTCTGGTCTTTATGGAAGAATTATGTGTTTTATTATTTAAAGAATTAATTAATAACTTTCATATGCAGTTTGCCTCAATCTAGGTACCAAGAGCAGAACTTTTTGACCTACACATGAAATGGTATGTGAGACAAAAAGCTAACACTGCACGTCATCCTGGACCCAACATTGCCCAGGAAACACAGAGATGAAAGCATGATGCTGTGGGGATACTTTTCAGAGACCAACCCTTAGTTCAGCTGGTAAGGGTTGGAAATTAACTTCTGTGACCAACAGAGAAGTTGGTCACTGTTGATGGCCAACAGAGCAATCCCAGAAGAAAGCCTGATAGAGGTTACAAAAGACCCTTCAGGATAGCAAAAAATCTTAACACACAATCAAAGCATAAATGGAAATTGTTGAATAAATTATTGATCATTTGCAAGACAATAAAGTGAAAAATTCTGTCACCTCACAGAAACTTTGCAGGACCATCTGTCTGCATGCATAAGTTCTTTTCTGGGGGTCCAGTGCATGAATGGGTGAGTGTGTCTGCGTGAACTTGTGTTGGAGTCGTGCGCTGTCCTCAGTGCACCTTATCTGCAGGGACAGGCTGCAGCTCACTACGACCCCACAAACAGAACATGTTTATCTGGAGCAGGTAAAACACAAAATTCAAGCCAACGTCAAATATTTGCTGTATGTACATCTGATCTGACTCCGAACAAAGGAACAGACACCAATTGACCATGACAACGTTCCTCACAGCTGTTTAAACATATTTTTAGTGCTGGAAACTGTTGGTGACCAATATGGACTGCTGCCAAAAAGGACGTTTGCTGTCCTTGACTGTAAGGAGCAGACAACAAACTACAAATTCAGTGGGTCATTGACTCCTGTTTGAACTATTTAGTCCATGTTATCTATGTGCATATTGCATTTAAAACAGCTGACCAAGATAATGAGAACCTCTGATACAGAGAAATGTCGTCAGGACTCTCTCTGTGCGTAACTGAGTCAATACCCAGAAATTAAACTCTGGAGAAAAGAAGAGGCCCTCTGTCATCTCAGTCAATTTTCTTTTATTATTTGACTGCAGATTGAGCAGATTCTGATAAGCAGACTCTACTGCACTGATTAAAATGAAGAATCAAAACAATTATTTTGATGCCAATAATATGTACATCCAAAACTTGCTGATTCATTCCACGTGTCCAAACATGTACTCTGCTGATTCCTCTAAAAAGGAAAAACTTCCTGTGGTGGACGCTGTGTTGAACACACAAACAAGGCCAACGTTCAACACACAAGGTACCCCGTGAGGTAAGGGTTGGTTAAATTGTGACTGGACATGGGTGTACACTTCATGCGGGTTTTATAAAGAAATTGATAGGTCAGACACTTTGCAGTCGGAACCAGGAGGATATATATGAGCAAGCAGCCAAGTCTCCAGAGGACCAGCACCAGCACACCTGAACACATCTGCTGTGATTACATCCATCAGTCATGAGGGTGGTCAACATTGTAAGGATTTTTTTTTTTTTATCTATGTATGTATCGATGTAGCCCACAACTTCTGGGAAGTTATGGGCTAAATAACATCTATTTGTGATTTTACATGCAGGGACCGGATCCATCGCTGGCATATCGGCCAAACTTAGAAGACTCCAAGGAGAAAGAAGAATACAGAAACTTTGTGGTGAGTTTGAGGTTTCCTTTAGCTTATAACGACTATTTATCCATCAATTGGTTTATAATTGTAAGGTCACAGGGACAGCTGTTTAACAACACATTCATTAAAAAAATATTACATTTTTTGTTTTGTAATAATACTTGGATCATTGGCCGTGCATAGAAAGTAAATACATTAGTAAGTTAAGTTCTTTAAAACACAGAATTATGTTGAACTACATCTAGTTAACAATGCTGTAATACAAATTTTTGTTCAAAACCAAAATTCCAACTTGCATTTTTAAGAGGAAATGAGAAAATATGTTGTTGTGGTATTAAAGACCCTTTTAAAGATTATCATTAAATTTAATCTAAGATATGGAAAGTATTATAAAAATAAGAAAGCACCGATGCAGCTTTTTATATTTCAAAAACAAGCTTGGAGTGATAATCATGCTCTGAACTACAAATAATATTTTTGTTATTGCCAAAGCATTCAAATTTATTGAAACTGAAAATCTCCAACAGACGTTCAGCGAAAGAGTTACGAAAAGTGCAGATTAAGAGTTTGTTTTTTGTAGATGTCCAGAGAGAACCAATGAGAAAATTATATATGTTTAAATTATGGGATCTAAATTAAGGAATGGTTTAGAATTTAGTTTAATAAAATAGGAAAAACAGATTAAAGATTTTATGAATATGGTTTGAAACTATCAGCTACAGGTACAGACTGTAAGATTCATACATCACTGTGAAAGTGGTTAATTTTCTTAAACCTCCTGTTGAACATTATATTGTTGTAAAGTACAAACATAAAAATGTCAATTTGTTCAAGAAATTTACCCAAGTATTTAAAAAAATCTAAGAAATTACCTTTCTCATAAAACATATATGTATGTGTATTTTTATACATTTCTGATTTCTGACAAAATGAGATTTTCTATTGATGAGGAGACTCAGTTTACTTGTTGATGTAAATGTTGAAACAGTAATATTACATTACTTAATAAAATTGCCCAGTGTGTCAAAGAGGAACTTCTCTTTTCTCCAGAATCTTCAATCCCTTATATTTCAAATGGATGATGGTGCATCGGTGTTGTGAACTATACTGAGGAACTGTTTCCTGTCTTTTCAGGATGGAAGTCTCTTCAACAGAGTCTTTAAAACATACAGTATGATGCACACCAACCAGACTGTGGACTTCGTCCAGCAAAAGGTGAAATAAACAGGGGCCAACAGCAACAACTAATTATTCAGTTGTTTTCTACTTCAAACTTATTTTGTTTCAGCAGCATTTCCAGCAAGTTACAAACCTAGATGTAGATATATATATATATATATATATAAAAGCCTTACCGGTAGTCATACTGCACCCTCTGCAGCACGCTGAATGGACCCACTGCAACCACTCTCAGATGGGAATGATGGACGCCATCATGTCTCTGGACCAGCTGGTGGACGAGTCGGATCCAGACGTCGACTTTCCCAACTCCTTCCATGCCTTCCAGACTGCTGAGGGCATCCGCAAAGAACATCCAGACAAAGGTACCTTCTAAAGTGGAAAACAATGACAGCATATAGACCAGGGCAAAGCTTACAGATTACCCTGTATCACCTCAGACTGGTTCCAGCTAGTGGGGCTGATCCATGATGTTGGGAAAATCTTGGCCCTGTGGGATGAGCCGCAGGTATGACAGTCTTTTGACTAGATTGCTTTAAGATATCTGCACTATATTGTGACTTGTATATTGACTTCAGTCAAACTTGCTGTCTAGGTAAATTGGAGTTTATTTGAATTTATATAAGTTAATAAAAAAAGAGTTCTCCACATTTTGTGATGGATGAGTATAAAGTGTAAAGAAACAAACATTGGAGAGAGTAACAAAACTTATTTTCAAAGTTTTATTGCAAGTAATAAAAAAGTGTCATACCAATTTTGAGCTCCCTTTAACTAAATATCACGTAATAAAATCCAATTCAATTGCTTTCAAAACTCAACTAGTCAGGGAAAGGAGCCCCTCATGTTAATGACAGTATAAATACAGCTGTTAGTGAAGACCTCAGAGGTTTATTTAGAACACACCAGTGAACAAACAGCAAAATGAAGACCAAGAAACACAGCACACAGCTTTGGGATAATGTTGTGAAGAAGACCAAGGTAGAGTTAGCGTGAGCAAGTCTTTGACATTTCACAAAACACTTTTCAGTCCAACATCATAAAATGAAAAGACAATGACAACAAAAGACCTACCAAGACAGGCCAGGGAACGAGACGCTGCCAAAAAGCCAACTGTGGAAATCTTTCTTTCCACAATTATGCACTACTGTCATATAGAATGTCAACCAACACACAAAAAGTTTGGGCCTTAAATTTAAAAAAAGAAATAAAAGAAAAATGTCAGCACTGTACAGCAAAGTTAATATTCTTTCTTATTGAGCTACACATTGAATAAATCATTTTGTGGCGGGTGACTGTGTGTGTGTGTGTGTGTGTGTGTGTGTGTGTGTGTGTGTGTGTGTGTGTGTGTGTGTGTGTGTGTGTGTGTGTTTTAGTGGGCTGTAGTAGGAGACACATTCCCTGTGGGCTGCAAATTTCAAAACTCCATAGTGTTCAGAGACAGAACCTTCCAGGACAACCCAGATGAGAAAAACCCAAAATACAAGTAAGTTTTCTCAGATTAAATTCTTACTGCTTAAATAGAAATTAAATGTCAATATTTTTCACAGATTAAATATCAACGGTACAATCGTATGACATGCTCAATGGTATTTTCCAGTACAACTATGTTCAACTTTTTTCATTGTGATTGTCGACTGGGTCATTGTTAGAACAATAATTATCATATCCAGAGGCGGTTCTTGCATTGTCAAAGTTGTGAGTGAAACAGAAACAAAATGGAATGTGTATACTGTGGACAATACAGGATGTGCATTGAATACACTTCACACACTCGTCATCACAGGATCAACTGTGACATCCTCCTAGAAACACAAAGCAGCACTAAGACAGAGGGAGAGTGGAGGAAATAGGATCCAGCATCAGTTTCTTCTTTTTTCTTTAGGACTGAATATGGGATCTATGAACCCAACTGTGGCCTTGACAAAGTGATGATGTCCTGGGGCCATGATGGTAAGAAACTTTACTGAATCTGATTTAAATGATGTACTGCAATATCTTAAATGCTATAAAAAATATTGCAGATAACTGCCTAGACTGTTCTCTAAGACGGAGCAGTCTGCTTAGAGATTGTTATGCTAGTAGAAACTGTTTTTACTCTTGTAATATATAGCATAAACAACAACTGCTGTAATGCAGTTGTTGTTTATGCTAGTAATATATGGTGATGTTTGCCAAAACAGCAGCAGTAGCCAGGAGTAAGTTTTTTTTTTTTTATAAACTACATTGCTGGGAAGGAAATATTAAAAGTCCTCATCCTCACTGTATCTGGACATAGCTTACTGTCTGGGGTCAAACTTTAGAAATGCAAAGTGTGAAGTGAAATACAAGTCATGTTTCTACGTTGACATTGTTCTTTGTTCCTTCAGAGTATCTCTACAGAGTCATAAAGTTCAACAACTGCTCCATCCCAGAGGAGGTGCGTGAATCATTAAATGAAGTGATCGCCTCAGCGGTTGGCAGTCAGGTTGGGGTTTGTATCAATTCCAAGGTCTTTATTGATTGAATGCTTCATTTGTGTTTGTCCACAGGGGCTGTACATGATTCGATTCCATTCCTTTTACCCCTGGCACTCTCACGGAGATTACACCCACCTGTGCAACGACAAAGACCTGCAGATGCTGCCCTGGGTCAAAGAGTTCAAGTGGGTATATTCCTCTTTCAGAAACACCCTCTCATTTCACTAATGGAGGATTTGACTAGTGAGACCTGACTCTGAATTCTGTGTCTCTGCAGCAAATTCGATCTGTACACCAAAACCACAGATTTACCCAATGTTGACGACCTGAGGCCTTATTACCAGTCTCTGATCGATAAATACTGTCCTGAAGTGCTTCAGTGGTGAAACAGCAGCATCGACATCAGAAATCTGCTACATGACTATAACATGTAAATATTAATAATTCAACATTTTATCAACACTTAAGCTGGACTTAGTGCTTTTTTGATTATCACCTTTTGCTTCTGGAAACTTCTATCTCTGCAACATGAATCCTCAAGTCTCACATAATGAGACTAGATGCATTATGTGAAATTATAGATGCATGTACAAACTTTTTTTTTGTTTTATTGTATTTTGACAAGTTAAAAAAAATCTAAATAAAAACTATTGCTATGTCTCCTGTGGCATTTCATTTCTAATAATACCTAAGTATTTGCGAAAAGCAGAAGGTGCTAGACATGATTCAGTACACAGAGAAAGACAAAGTAACAGGTGCAAAAACACAGAAAACAGCAGTGATATACATTTACTCCCTTGAAAAAACAAACCTGAGCTCAATACTTTGAATTCCATTTTCTGCTTTCAGCAACCAGGAATATTTTCTTTCTTCCTCAGCATTAGAAATATAGCTGCAGTAAAGTGGAGGCAGATAAGGAAGCAGAAATGTCCTCTGGCTTTTTTTTTTTCTAAGGCAGGTGGTGATCAAAAGTCTGAAATTTCTCGAAAAACTTTTGTCATGGCTCTCATCTTTCTTCAACTTCCTCATCATCATCCTCATCCTCATGCTCGCTGACTGCCTTTTGTTCATTTTCCTCCTCTTCATCTTCAGTGTTCTTTTCACTCTCATCCTGCTCTGCCTGTTTTTCCTCTGAATGATCTGACAAGCTTTCATCTCCACCCTCGTGGAGATCGTCCACCTTATTGGTGACTGCAGTCTGCTCTGCATGCCTGGTCTTGCCGCGCAAACCCTGGAGCAGACAGAAGGTGCTGCTGCAGGCAATGAGAGTCCAGATGAGTGTGAGGGCGGGAACGCCTCTGACCTGAGCACGCACCCACCTCACCGCTTGGGCAACAGCGGTGTTGGAAACCTGACGTGAAGCTGATTTGTCCTGCAGATAACAGGAAAAAAAATTTATAAAAATTTGCCTCACCTTCAAAGGCTTTTGTGTCTCTCACTGAAAGAAGTGGGGAAGCCATTATAGTTTGTCTTTCTTCAGTGATCGTAACCATTTATGGACAGGAGTACCTTTAATCCAAACTGAGTGAGCATGCCCTCCAAGAAGGTGTTGCCTAAGTGCACTCTGGGATAGAATTCCTCATCATAGACCCTCCTCCACCAGCGCTCTGGAAAAGATCTGCATGGATCCAAACATGGATCAAGCTTCATTATTCTGATTAATACACATGGGGCAAAGATTTACGTTTGATTTCCTAATGTTTTTCACACAAAAGACTTCTCAAAACAAGTCTTGATTTACAATTTAAGCGTTTGCACTTTCAGACATGACATTTATGCAAAATGTCTGAGGAAAATAAGAGTTTTCTTTTTTAGATTTTTACAACTGTGCAATCAAAAAACTGAAAAGAAATGAATTGCAAAAGGCTTATAAAATTACAAACACAAATGTCAATGTATTTTATGAGAAAAAACCAACAACTCATGAATAAAGGGGCTGAATTCAAATTTGGACAAAGCATTACAATTGTTCAAGTCAAAAATGTCCTACCTTTCTAACATCAACTTCCCAGTCATTAACCGTAAGTCCATTGCATTAAAAAAAAAACAGTTATTTCTGCTGCAGGTAGGGTTTACATAAGGATCCAGAAACTATGAAATGGGAATATGGCATAAGGAAAGAACAAAGAAACAATAAGGAATAAAGTCTAGAAGAAAGTAAGATCTGGAAACTACTGAAAAATTCCTTAGGAATCCCAGACTTGTGAAAAACTCATTTTTATTTCATTTCCCACTGATGTGGAACTTTATGTTTGTCTATCACATAAAATCCAGATTAAAAGTCCATGTTATGGTGACAGACTTAAAAAAAAAGCCTAAAAAACGTTTGTCACCATAACTTAAGAAATGGAAAAAGGTTCAAGGAGTTGAATTAGTGTTGTAAGAAACACTAATCACTAATCACCAGCACTGAAACATTACAGCCACATCAAAATGTGGCTGTAATGTTTCAGTGCTGGTGGAAAAATGGTGAGCACTGACCCATCGGCCTTTGGTTCAGTAAACCAGTATCTGTAGCGGTGAGCTCTCAGGTAGGTAGGTGGCTCCTCGTGAAATGGATACTTGGATACATCTGTCTGGATCAGTTCAATCACTACAGGAGCAAAATGAAAACTGTAAGAGAACCGTTTGTTCCTTGTTAAATTCCTCTGATCTAATCCTGATTTTATAGGGATTTCAACACAATTTCAGAAAGAAAACAGCTTCATCTTTCTATGGATTCATGCTTTCATTCCCTGATTTCTTTCAGAGAATGAAAACTACTAAGCAGATGCAGATCTGACCCAGTTTCAAACAACAAAAAAACAGTTGCATTTGTTTCAGTTTTCATTTGTGAAAAACTCAAAAGGGTTTTGCACCTTCTCTTTTGCCTTGCAGGAGTCGGTACATCAGACTAGTGAACCACGGACTCTGGGTTTGAGGCCCCAAAGCTGCAAACCACATCTGCCAGTCCAAGCGAGGCTGATGTGGCGTCACCACAGGGGGAGACGCACTGACGTTCCCTGGCTTGTACATGAACTCAATTTCCTGCAAGGATAAATCAGAATCATGTAAACCACTCGCATATTGTGAACGAATCCCATTTAAACCATCACCTCACCGTCCATGTGTTCCCATCGATGCTCCCTTCAATGACCACCTCTGGCCTCCCGCCCACTCCCGTCATCCTTCTGAACAAGCCGTAGGAGTTGACTAGCTGGTAGCGATCCACCAGTCCATACGCCTGACGCACCCCTGGCCACAACCTGGAGTGAGACTCATACTCTATGAAGCTAAAAGGCACCTGAAAATAAGGGAGAGAAAACCACAGTGAGATTCTGCTGGATATTGTAAACCATCAATATCTGCAACCTGCAACTCTGATTTTCCAGCACCCACCAGACTGACTGCAAACATCGACACAGCAGCAGCGCCAAACATCGTCCACTGGATCATCCCCCAGAACCGCTTCAGAGAGCTAGAGATGCACGCACACCTGCACATGAATTCACATTAAAGTAGGATGAACAACTTGAATGACAAAGATCCAAAAACAGAGAAACGTTACATACCTGAACATGGATGCGACCAACTCCCAGGTGAGTGAGAGGACTCCGATCCAGATGCAGGGGATGGTGACAGTCTTCAGAAACTGGTTAAACTGGTGGTATGTGAATGCTGCAAAAGTCAGATGAATAGCAAAACAGTGAAGTGCAAATCTTTCCAAACGTTTCTTGGAAACTGAAGCAGAGCTACCGACCTGTGCGCGATGAAACAGTGTTTTTGTCTGAATCCACCTGCAGGTCGAAGCAGATAATTGTTCCAAAGATCATGAGAGTCCAAACTAGCAGCTCCACTAAGCGAGAAAGCCACAGCAACAGCTTGGAGTCTATGGAGAGAAAAATAAACAAATAAGTAGAATGTAGAATTTCTGATCATCTTGGAAGAAAAATAAAAAAAGGTTGTCAGAGTTTGATTTAATACTAATTAAGTCTTATCTGTAGGTTTGACAAATCTTTCAGTAAAACAATTTACAAATTTTGGAGTTTGATAGAGAATAATATGTCCTGCTTATTGGAATCTGGAACAAAATAAATACAATTGTTGGACAGGAGTATTCTACACCAGGGTTTCCTACCATGTACTTTTGCCCCACCAGGTTTAGCATTGTTTATGTATTATCTTTTTCTGATTATTGCCTTTTTAAGACTTTATAACTGGTGTTTAGGTATTAATCTTCCAGTCTTCCAGTAATGCATAACTGATATTCACAAATTTTCTGTCAACTTTCCTAATTTTTGTAACTTAAAATCATGGCAGGTGCCTAGATGACTGCCCTAGTGCCCCAACCACCGGGCATAGCAAGTTTTCTGGGGGAAAACCCAGAAAACTTGCTATGTAAACTAAATATAGATTTTTTTTAAAATCAAGAACTGACAGAAACCCTGTGTAGTTTACTGCAAGTTAAAATGTCAAACACCAAAATATGATGTGTAAAATGCCACAATTAAGTTTTTTTGAATCAAATATATATACATTAATGTTAAGTCCCCTACATTTATTAGCCATTATTAGACTTTTGATCTTTAGGACACAGAAAAAAAAGTGTAGAAAGCCAATGCTAAATTTTTCCATCCTAAAATATGTTTGTTCTCAATTAATTCATCTATTTTTAAAGCTAGAAAGGTTATTTCAAATTCCATGTACTGTTATAAACAGTACTTTCTCCCTACTTTTCAGTCATGATCACTGATCTTCCTAAACATGAATACATGTTTGTAGAGACATATTTATGCATGTGTACTGAACATGGAACAACACCAATAATTTCAACATTTCTCTCTTTTTTTTTTTTTTTTTTTGCATAGTGGTGATAAAAGGTATTCTAATGAAAGCAAAGTTCATACTTTTCCGGACTCACTGTATATTATCCTTCTCTAAAAATTGAAAACTTAATTATAGATTTTCAAGTCTGATAGATAATCCGCCTACAAAAAATGCTTTCTTTCAAAATGTTCCACATCCTCTCAAAGTGTAAAAAATAAAAAATGCTTTGCAGGTTAGCCACGGGAGAAAACACAAGAGAATTGCCAGCATATACCGTTGCTCTCATCTCCAGACTTGTCTGCTTTGCGGAGCCAAAAGTTGACGTGGCGGTCATCCAGAAGGGACAGGCAGAGGGTCACCGTCAGCAGATTGAAAAAGTTGTAATTACCGGACAAAATGATGAGCACCTGAAGAAGCAACTACACAAAGAACAAAAACAGTCCAATTTACAAACAAAACATAGTTTTTAATAGAAACGCATTGAGAAATCTGCTTGTGATCAGAACTGGACAATTTTCATCAAAAAAGAAAAATCTAATATTTGCCTTGTTAGTACATGAACAACTAATAAGCCACTGACAACAACACCCTCCGGTGTGGAAGTTTTGACGGAGTGAAGAAGTCCCAATGTTGGCCATTTGCTGTGTAACTGAGCTAAAAAAGAAAATGCAAATGCTAAACCTTGCCTTAAAGGAAATCAAAGTTTCTATGGAGGAATATCAGATGTTCATTCAGGCTGGAACAACTAGACTTTAGCAGCAGCAAATATTCTCTAGACTGTTCTCTAGCTTAGAGAACAGTCAATCAATGAATATCTGGACTCTCAGTAGGAATTCAAGAATGCCATTTCAAAC